TAACCAAAAATTATAGTATAGTATTTCCAGTAGGTGAGAGCACTCTGACATGGACAATCCCCTATTGTGTGCCACATGTGTGAAAGGGAACCTGGATAATGTCTGGATCTGACTCTCTTGACATTGTCTTGAGTTCATATGAAAAATGGCTACAGACCGTAGAACAATACATTTACATATGAATACACCATTGAAAATGTAGCATTTCAGGCTGCATCTGAGCCCAAACCCCTTTTCGTTCCCTAGGAAAGAGAGGGCCAAAAGGAGAAAGAGGAGACCCTGGTAAACCCCACCCAGGACCACCTGGACCCCCAGGAATACAAGGTAAGAGCTACAGCATCCTGAAGCTGAACAAATGTGTGCCCATACCTGGGATGTAAAACAAAATGTGATACTGACCAAAGGTTCACAAGAGTAAAGGTACAGAAACAAACTGAAGGACTGAAGGCATTACAGCTCTTTCCACAGGAGAGGCTGCTCAGAGGCATTTTAAAAGCATCATTAACTTCAAAACATCATTTAACAGATGCTCTTGAATGAGAATGTAATAGGATTGCAACAGTACACACTAATTCAAACAGTGGAAAACACACTCACACTCCCCTGTGCACATGTACACACATCTTAAATATATGCATACATACAGTACACATGGGTAATCCAAGTCCAGAGTGGGGTTAAGAGGGAGTTTCTTAACATGGACTTCAGTGCAATTAGTCATCTTGACCTCTGGAATTCAGTTTAATACCTCCTTGATGTTGAACCTTCACCCTCCGCAGGTCCTCCTGGTGTTGATGGCGTTGCTCGAGACGGTCGGCACGGCGAGAGAGGACCCCAGGGATCAGCCGGAGAGGCTGGTCACCCCGGTAAGGCGGGACCATCAGGGCTCCCAGGTTACTGCGAGGCGGCAATGTGTTTGGCTGCGTCGGCCTACACCTCACCGAGACTACAGGAGGCGGGAACAATCAAAGGACCAAATGTTTAGACACCTGCCTCTCCATCAGCAGCTCACAACACCTGGGAGAGAGGGGGGGAGAAAGAGAGAAAAGAGAGAAAAGAGAAGGAGAGAGAGACCACTCTTCTCTGTAGGAAAACATTACAAACGAGGGGTGGGGGACAATGATAGTGACTGGATGTATAGCGCCCCCTCCTCAAACTGACAGCCTGAAGTTTTGACTGGCGGGACATACTCTGATCTTAATCCCCCACATCACCATGACAACAGCAGCTCACAGCCACCCACATCCCTCTGAATTCTCTAGTGTTTTTGGATGATGTCAGTGTAAGTCCTATCCAAATATCCCAGCCCTGTTCCAGCAGTGAAAGAGAAACAGATTTATATTGCATCTCCTTGTCTCTCACCACCACAGTATCTATGAGCTGAGAGGAGCTGAAAAATCAGTGTGGTGAAAGGTGATTTTTCTGTCACACCGTGGTCACTTTAAATAAGTTTACATATGCAATATTTTGTTTGCATTGTCTTTTTAAGTTTAAATGCCCTGCCTCTCTTGTGACGTCACACCTGTTGCCTTCAAAGTGTACAAAAAGGACCAATAAATGATTGAAACTTACACTCGGTACTGTACTGTATTGTAAAATGTATTATCTGCATCTGTAAGCTTTAGCGAAACCTCTGATTTACCTCATGTGTACATTGCCCCCCACCCCCCTCCTTTGCCAATCCCCACTTTCTTCCCAAGTCTCATTTTAGAAACTAACGACTAGCTTGATCTCGTCCTCTTGTTGCCTGGCAACAGCATATCCCGATGGGCACTCCCATCTCCCACAATGCAGTGCTGTAAATCTTTGTAAATGTGTGTTGATTATTATGTAGAGAAAAAGAAATGGGTTATGATATGCACCAACAAAAATCCTGTGTTAATGAATTCAGTGAGTAATAAAAAGTTCCTACAGAAATATCGACTTTTTCTCAAGACGAATCAGCCCGAATGTGCCTCCTATGCCACTGTCAACTTTCCACAGTGTGTCAGCTATTTAATGACTGATTTGTTTTCATCAACAGAAGCTATTTATTGTTCTTTATATAATCATCTGTAAAGAGAGTTTTTTTTTTCTGGCTGTTCAGGTTCACCCAAACCAATAAAGAGGAACCTTTTATAAAATCTAATGCTCTTCTGTATCATGTCGGGAATAGAAACAAGTCTCTTAAGTTTGTCTCCTTCAGCTCCTTTTCTTTTCATTTCTCCCTTTTCCAAATCTTTTTTTACTATCAGTTCTATGCATGTAAATAAACTCCCATGCTTCCAAAGCTGCAGATGCTCAGCTTTTGTCAACATTTTTGCATCAATACAATACTGTACTAATCAATGCAGTATGGCCCATGCACCCATGCATGTTTCTTGCAACGAAAAACAACCACAATTTCCTCGCCACAGTTTCCTAGTAGAACATATGTAAGACACATGATAGATTCAATGACCAAGACATTAAAGAAATACATGAGCTGGTGAGTTGATTGGGCACACCACCAGAATTGAACAGCCTAGTGGTTACAGGCCCAAGGGTCCCTGACTAAGTAATTCAGGGTTACTATTTCTTTTTGGAAAGTCAAAAAAAAAAACAACCACAAAGAGACAACAACAATTACAAAGACATGCAAAACAAGACTAAAGAAACACATAACAAGAGACATCAAACTACAAACATGCAAAACTAAAGAAAAATTACATTCTATAGTATGTCGTCCAAAATCATGGAAAACAGCATAGTATTGTATGTCATCCAAAATCATGAAAAATGTCATAGTATAGTATGTCGTTCAAAATCATGGAAAAATAGTCATAGTATAGTATGTCGTCAATAATCATGAAATAATACTCATGGTATGTCGTCCAAAATCATGATAAAATGCATTGTACAGTATGTCGTCCAAAATCATGAAAAAATGTCATAGCATAGTATGTTGTCCAAAATCATGGAAAGAAGTCATAGTATAGTATGTCATCCAAAATCATGAAAGAATAGCTAAAGTACAGCATGTCATCGAAAATCATGACATAATAGTCCTAGTATATATCATACAAAAATCTCATAGTATAGTATCTTGTCCAAAATCATGATAAGAAGTCATAGTATAGAATGTTGTCCAAAATCATGAAAAAATAGTCATAGTATAGTATGTTGTCCAAAATTATGAAGAGAAGTCACACTATAGTATGTCGTCCAACATCATGAAAAAATGTCATAGTATAGTATGTCGTCCAAAATCATGAAATAATAGTCATAGTATAGTATGTCGTCCAAAATCATGAAAAAAATGTCATAGTATATAGTATGTTGTCCAAAATCATGAAATAATAGTCATAGTATAGTATGTTGACCAAAATGATGCAAAAATGTCATAGTATAGTATGTTGTCCAAAATCATGAAATAATAGTCATAGTATAGTATGTCGTCCAAAATCATGAAAAGAATGTCATAGTATAGTATGTTGTCCAAAATCATGAAATAATAGTCATAGTATAGTATGTTGTCCAAAATCATGAAAAAATGTCATATTATAGTATGTCATCCAAAATCATGCAAAAATGTCATAGTATAGCATGTCGTCCAAAATCATGACATAAGTCATAGTATAGTGTGTTATCCAAAATGATGCAAAAATCTCATAGTATAGTATGTCGTCCAAAATCATGTAAAAATTTCATAGTATAGTACGTCGTCCAAAATCATGAAGAGAAGTCACAGTATAGTATGTCGTCCAAAATCATACAAAAATGTCATAGTATAGTATGTCGTCCAAAATCATGAAAAGAAGTCATAGTGTACTATGTCGTTCACAATCATGGAAAAATGTCATAGTATAGTATATCGTCCAAAATTATGAAAAAAATGTCATAGTATAGTATGTCGTCCAAAATTATGAAAAAAATGTCATAGTATAGTATGTCGTCCAAAATTATGAAAAAAATGTCATAGTATAGTATGTCGTTGAAAATCATGAAAAAATCTCATAGTATAGTATGTCGTCCAAAATCATGAAAAAAAGTCATAGTATAGTATGTTGTCCAAAATCATGTAAAAATGTCATAGTATAGCATGTCGTCCACAATCATGCAAAAATGTCATAGTATAGTATGTCGTCCAAAATCACGAAGAGAAGTCACACTATAGTATGTCGTCCAACGTCATGAAAAAATGTCATATCGTATGTCGTCCAAAATCATGAAATAATAGTCATAGTATAGTATGTTGTCCAAAATCATGAAAAAATGTCATAGTATAGTATGTTGTCCAAAATAATGAATACGTCATAGTATAGTATGTCGTCCAAAATCATGAAAAAATGTCATAGTATAGTATGTCGTCCAAAATCATGAAATAAGTCATAGTATAGTGTGTTGTCCAAAATGATGCAAAAATCTCATAGTATAGTACGTCGTCTAAAATCATGAAGAGAAGTCACAGTATAGTATGTTGTCCAAAATCATACAAAAATGTCATAGTATAGTATGTCATCGAAAATCATGAAAAAATGTCATAGTATAGTATGTCGTCCAAAATCATGAAATAATAGTCATAGTATAGTATGTCGTCCAAAATCATGAAAAGAAGTCATCGTGTAGTGTGATGAAAAAAAATCATAAAAAAATGTCAAAGTATGCTTTAAAATTGTCATGAAAATAGGATAGTATGACACAAGAAAAGTCACAAAAATATCATAATATAGTATGATGTTAAAAAAGTGACAAAAAAAGAACTGCAAAGAGCAATGCAAGGCTACTACAATGTGTGTGCAAAACAATGACCAAGAATCAAATCAACTTCAAAGAGACGCAGAGAAGGTAAAACCACAAAGAGACACACAATCATTGCAAAAGATGTGTAATAACTAACAGGATAATAACTTCAGTCTGGGTCTATTCTGCTGCATGAGACCATTTATATGCCCACTGTCTCAGGACCCATTCATGTATGGAAAGCAGTAATTGAGAAGTGTTTGTCACAACACAGGTTAATAACAGTAACATGATGCAGCCTCTTTAAAAAGCAATTTAATTCAGTTTTAAAGTTTTACATTTCCCATGGGTTACCTTGTGAAAAACAGAAGTCTGACCGCGCCTCATAGTTTAAACTGCAGATTTAACAATGGAGATGGTATCAGATTGTCATGATTAAAACTCCATAGATTTCCAGACATAAAAATGCTTCAAAAAGTCCAACCCCAAAATACAGTGACATGTAACACTACAAAAGCCATTTGTGATGCTTTTCTGAATATTTTCTTTATCCTTGCATGATTGTGAGGGATTAGTGGCTGCGCTCAGTGTGTTGCATTACAGTACCTGTGGCTCAATCATTGCTCATATTTTCTTAAACAAGTGCCTGTTGAAGCAGACAGATGGCTACTACAGCTCCTTCAGAATACAGAATGAGATGAGATGCTTTAAAATGGCTGTATTTCCCAAAAGACTGGAGTTAAAATGACACAAAATGAACTTTAGCAACATAATTACAAAAGCCAATATGCTTTCTTGTGTAAACACATTTTTTCTTTTATAAATAATGATGTCTTTTACTTAACACATTATTCCATTATGAAAGCTTATGGACCTTAGAAAAATATCCCTTTGGCATTTTTTGTTGCTTTATAGCCACTGACAATGAAGAATAGGAGGCTAGCCATACATATGCCTCGTATCAAATCCATTGAAAAATAAGCATAAAAAAGCCACTATATATATAAATATAAATATATACAAAACAGTCAATCCATCATGAAGGGTAGGTATGCTAGTTTTTGACATCTCTTTCCACAGAACTGAAATACATTTCTTGGGGTAGTCAAATTTAAATGTATCACACCACAAGCACTGAGAAAGAATATTAATGCATATAAATGCATGGGATGCACTCCAAATGTGATTCTGTGAGAGGGAAACAAAGATATGAGAGGTGCAAGCAGAGTGCTACAATAATTGTGTGCATTCTCTTCCTACAGATTTAGACAAAGAAACTGAAAAAAAGAGAAGAGGCCAGATTTAATCAAGGAGAAGAAAATACAAATTGTGATTCTAGTCACCTCCCCTGGGTTGTTCTAAAATGTACAAAAGGAGTGAAACACAGTGAAAATACAGAGGCGAGACCAAAATAAAAGGCAGTAATATATCAATGAATTGGTGTTCAAAGGGAAAAAGAATGATGCAATAAAAATGTTCAGCCGGTGTGTCTTAGCAGGCCTCATTCCAGCGGGGCCCTTTGAAAGAAACTGGATTTTTGCTCAGGACTACAGCAGAAATCTGTGTGGGTAAATCTATACAATTCAGCAACAAAGGGGCTCCTTGATTTCATTTTGAGGTCAGATTTAATAACTTTGGATCGCGGTCTTTGGCTTCCTGTCTTCTCCATAGCCTCTTTGCTTCAGTCCTCACTGCCCCTCTACTCGATCACCTCTACATCTTTACCAGGGGCCCTTCATAGGTGGGCCCTTGGGGCTGTACTCTACTTGATGGCTCATACAGTCTCCAGGATTACATCGTCCATCATTTCCCTTTGAACCAGTCTGCCCAGGAGGGCCTGGGATTCCAGGAACACCCTGCTGGCCAACAGGACCTGGGGGTCCCATCTTTCCATAGCCTGGGGGACCTGGAACGCCTGGAAATAGAGGGAATGTTATGAGTGTGGCACCATCACTGCCATGGTACTTATCGTCAAAGAAAAAAATAAATCAAAAGATGGAACATTTAAAGGAATAATTTGACACTTGGGTAGAACATGCATGTCAAACTATTATCAGGTGGAGCTTGAATATTTAGTGGAAGATGGTTGCAGATGTAAGTGCCTTCACAAAATGTAATGGGGTACATTACCTGGTGCTCCTGGAGGTCCAACATCTCCCATCTCTCCAACACCCTTATCTCCTTTTTCTCCAGTTGGTCCTCGTGGTCCTACAGAAAGAGACCACACATTTTGACCATGTGGCAGATAAACCATTTACAGATAGCTAATGATGACATTGATGTCACTGCGATGGTACTAGCTGGATTATTGATATAAGTGAAGGCTCACCAGCGGGTCCTTGGGGTCCTGGCCGGCCTTGTCTGCCGATATGTCCTGGGATTCCAGGTGCACCGGGATTCCCAGGACTACCTGGTGTTCCATCTTTCCCTGGGGGCCCAGGCCGACCTGGGGATGCCACCATCTCTACAGGCATCTGTACTCGAGACATGTAGTAGGCCATTCTCTCTGGGGAGGGAAACATGCAATAACAAACAATGATTCAACAGTGGCAATACCGGGGCGTCCCAGAGGAGAGATGGAATAATTCTTTGAAAGAGAGATGTGCATCTGAAGGGGAAATGTTGCTCAAGCCTAGAAATGGCAGCATTATACACAATAAACAGTCACATAACAATACACATGCCCTCACCATCAAAGATCTTGATGACATGCTGGCGGATGAAGTTCTTGATTTCATCATAATTGACTACAGCCTGTTTGAGAAAGGAGTAATAAAGAGAAAAACAAAATGGCAAACATTAATCAAGGAAGATAATTAACAAATTAATTATTTACAAGAGCAGATGGAGCTAGTGAGCGCCTCTGGCCACTGTACTGTGTGCCATCACCTCTTTTCACAACCAAGCTGGATAGTGCATAATTTAGAGCTGATTAAAAGGGAAAAAAATAAAAATAGAATTAGGCTACAGAGCTGTAAGTGTAATGAAGCTGTGTCTTACATCACTTCCTGGTGACCCTGGAGGACCGGGCGACCCAGGGATCCCTGCTGAGCCTGGGCTTCCCCTCTCTCCTCTGGGTCCGGCTGGGCCAATCATGGGCTGTGCGTCCTTTGAGTGGTAACCTCCACCGCCAGGAGGCCCGGGTCGACCTCTCTCTCCTGGAGGACCCCTCTGGCCTGCGGCACCTGGTTCACCCTGGGAGACAAACAGACAGATAGACAGGCACACAGTCACAGTCACAGACACAGACACAGGCACATCATGATTTACTGTTACTATTGTTTTTATTGAGTGAAGCTCTTTGTGTTGCACTCTGTTTTTATGAAAAGTGCAAAGTAAATAAAGTTTGATTGATTGATTGACTGATTGATTGATTGATTGATTGATTGATTGATGAAACAAAATCACAAAAAAATATCATAGTGAAGTATGATGAAAAAAATTATAAAAATGCAATAGTATAGTATGATATAAAATTGTATATATTATATATTGTATATATAACTGACAGTTTTTAAGATTTTTTTCATCATTCTATTGTATGACATTTTTTGTGATTATTTATTATCATACTATGGCATTTTCAATACAATTTTATATCATACTATACTATTACATTGTATATGATTCTTTTTCATCATACTATACTGTGACATTTTTCATGACAATTTTATATCACACAATACTATGACATTTTTGTGGGGGTTTTCATCATACTAAACTATTATATTTTTTTAAAGATTTTTTTCCTTAATACTATACAATGACGTTTTTTGTGATTTTTTTCATGACAATTTTATATCATACTATACTATGATATTTTCTTTTTTTTTTATCATGTAATACTATGACATTTTTTACGATTTTTTAAATCATACTATACTATGACTTTTTTTTAATGTTTTTTTCCATTATATAATACTATGACATTTTTATGACAGATTTTCATCATACTGACATTTTTTATGATTTTTTTTTATCATACTATACTATGACATTTTTCATGACAATTTTATACTATACTATGACATTTTTATGATTTTTTTCATCATAATATACTGACATTTTTTATGATTGATTTTCATCATACTTTACTGTAACATTTTTTTATGATTTTTTCATCATATAATACTATAACATTTTTTACGTTTTTTTTTTTATCATACTATACTATCACATTTTTTTGTGATTTTTTTTCATCATACTATACTATAATTTTGGGAAAGACCACTGGGCTCAAACCTCTGGGTGTGTTGTCCAAAAGGAGTCCTTGACTGAATCAAAACAATGAATTAAAAAAAAAACGGACTAAAGGGCTCTGTGTTGAGTGTTTTTCTGTATTGAAAAGATGACAAAATAAACTAACTTTTCTGCATTCTGGAGGTGTGCGATCATACTATACTATGACATTTTTTATGATTGATTTTTTTTTTATCATTCCATAATGGTATTTTTTTGTGATTTATTTTCATCATACTTTACTGTGACATTTTTTATGATTTTTTTCCATCATACATTACTGACATTTTTAATGATTTTTTTCATCATACATTACTGTGACATTTTTAATGATTTTTTCATCATACATTACTGTGACATTTTTAATGACAATTTTATATCATACAACACTATTACATTCATATAGACATACATGAAACTAAATATTAATAAACTGTCATAGTATTAAATCATGGGAAAAAAAACATAAAAAATGTTGTATGATATAAAATTGTCATGAAAAATGTCATAGTATCATAGGATATATCACAGGCTATAAAATATAAAAAATATAACAGTTTGATAACAAAAAAAAAAAAAAAAAATAATGAGAAACTCATGGTATGGTATGAATAAAAATTGCATTAAAAGTCTTGTGGCATGTGCCGCCAGCAGAACAATGCACCATGCCAAGTCTTAAAACCTGCTCAGGGATGGCCAGAGGAACATGAAAAAGACATCAATCAGGACATTGATCTGACCTCCAAATTTCCCAGATCCCAATCTGATCAAGCATCTGTGGGACATGCCAATATCCCAGAGTTTGTGTGTCCAAGCCCCACCGTGGATAAGTCTTCGCTCTAACCTATCGAGGCATGGACACATGATCCTTGGGGAGTGTCCTATGGTGTCTGGTGGATACTTTAAGTCCCATGGGGTGCAAATTGGGGTACAGCCACGTCCCATGGATGCTCAACTGAATTGGGATCTCTGGAATTCAGAGGCCACTTTGTCACCTTGAGCTCTTTGTCACATTCCTTGAGCAATTCCTGAGCAGTTTTTGCAGTGTGGCATGGCATTGTGAATGGTGCGAATCAAGTAGCATCCACATGACTGCAAGGACCCAAGGTTTCCCAGCAGAACACTGCATTGTAACAGCATGATCAGTGTTATTTACGTCACCTGTCAGTGGTGTTTAATGTTTTGGCTGATCGATGTAAAAGAGTGGTATCAGTCTTCTCATCTACCTTTACCCCACAAAGCAAATGGTTGACTATTATGTTCTTTCTTCAGTCACTTTTCCTGCTTTTATCTGTTTAATTATTTTTCAACCTTTGAGAGGTACATGAAGATCATTATCAACCGTATTTCAGAGAAGACGCCGGTCCATTCAGACAGCTTTTGGCCACGTCTATATCACTTTCCGCACAACTGAGCCCCCCATTCAGGATGTTTAAATACACTCAAAAAACAGCCCTGCTACATTAGCGACAGTGATTTATCAAGGACAAAGCAGCCCATAATGGACGTGTAATGTTTACACGTCACCGACAGACAAGCGGCTCTTGAAATAGAGAGGAGGGAGAAGAATAGAGGAGTCCGTTCTCGTCTTTCTCCTCTGTTCTCCTCTTCTGTGCAGCTAAAACCCTGACAATGCCGTCCTGTCAGCGTGACAAATAGCCTCATCTAGCATCTCCCCTCAAGCTTAATAGCATTATCCCAGAGGCAGAGAATAACTTTATCACTGCATCCACCTACAGTACTGTAAGCCTGTGTCCAAGGAGAGATCCAACAGGCTCTACAGCTACAGAGGGTGAGCAGACAGTTTTGGAGAGAGGTGAAGTGAGGTGAGGAGGAAGGAGGGTGTCGGTGGGAGGGTCGGAGGGTTAGTGAACTGATGACTGTGTTAAGTGCGGGTGCTGAGTGGGCAGAAATGGAGAGAGCAAGCGTGTTCAGCACCATAGAGCGCCGACCTAAGCCTCCCTGAGCTAAAAGGAACAGGAAAAGGCCGCATCTCCCTGCATTAAGATGGTCTGCGGTGGTAATGGATGGCGGATGCTCAACTTCACGACACACACACACACACACTCAAATAATACCACCCCGAGTCGGCTCTTACCTTTTGACCTGGCTGCCCGTTGTCCCCTGGCATGCCTGCCGATCCCTGTCAAAACACAGATCCATCAAAGCGATGAAATATGCACATCGCCACATTGCCCTGTCTCTACTATACTTTCATGGGGCCAAACACCAAACCCAGACACTACTCACATCTTTGCCAGGGGCACCATCGCTGCCTGGCTCTCCCTATAAGACAAAATCAAAGCAGGGAAAAAAGATAAGTGAGATATTTTGGCATGGTAGTAGTTCCAATGATGTAGACACAAGTTGAGAGGTACTAACAATGAGCCCTGGGTGCCCGGGTGGTCCTGGGGCTCCTCCCATCCCTGGAAGACCCCTCTCACCGGCTTGGCCCTTATCTCCTTTTAGACCCTACAGAGGGAAGATGGAGAATTCAGATTTTCATTTATTGTTTGCACTTTAGAAAGACTCCAACTGTGTCCCGTTTCTCTCTCACACACACACACACACACACACACACACACGCACAGAAACAATATACAGTATAGCTCATAATGCATAATTCTAGCACATTAATTTCAACTTGTGAATCTTTAAGTTAAGATGCCACATATTTATCTCTGCTCATCTATCTTCTTCATTATTTCCATTATGCGTAGCTTCTGTAATTATTTACTGTAATCATAATTAATGTTAGTATTATTTGTTATGCTAAGTGCTTATTATATTCTGTATTTTACTCTGATCTCCAGCACATATTTGGCTACTGAAATATACCCCTTTGAGAATGTTAAAGATTTTGCTAATTCAATCCATTTCTTGTTTTTTTTTTTAAAAATATGTTGGCCAAGTGTTTCACAGCTTTTCTCTTACCACTCCCGAAGGACCAGGAGGTCCTGGTGGTCCAGCTGGACCTGTAGGGCCCTAATGAGAAAAGAAAACATTATTCAAGTTTCACACACAAACACACAACAATATCAACAGAACATGCTTGCTCTGTGTCAAAATGGCAGTGAACTTACAACGTGGCCGGGGGGTCCAGGTCGTCCCTGGGTTCCTGGGGTGCCGGGATCACCCTGGAAAGGTCACAGATTGACCTTTAGCAAGCTCCAGGGTTACACTGACTACTGATTTATACAGTACACTCTTGCTTTGGGCTTTTATTCTTCACAGATTATCAATGTGCACTTTATTATTTATCTAAATCCACTCTGGGTCGCAATAGAGAGCAAAAGTACTCACCTCGTGTCCTGGCCTGCCTGGTGATCCAGGTGCACCTGAAGGCCCAGCTTCACCCTTAAGAAATAAGGAAGTAATGAAATGTAAGAAAGGAAGCATGGGTAGAATGCATCACTCCTCTACTAGTGGAGACTCAAAGCAGCAAGGTAGCAAAGTAACAACACCGAGACTGTCATGACAGTTTGCATAATTACCAGTTTGATAAAACAACTTGGCCTAATGCACAAGCAACAGACAGCAATGGGATGTTGACAAACAGACAGACATGGTGTGATGGTAAAGCAATGAGCTGTTGGCTAACCTTCTGTCCAGGGAAGCCAACATGGCCGGTTTTCCCTTTGAATCCCTGAGGAGAGACATCAAAGAGAATGTGATTGGTACAGTATCAAAATTCACAAAGTCGAGGCTGCCAAAGAACAGGCAGACATGTCTTTGAAATCCCGAACACCTGCTCTCGGGTAGAACACAAGCTGAGATACAGAGAGTGAGTGAGGGAAATAAAAAAAAGAAACAGAAACTACTTGTTTCTTCGCTGACGCTGACTGCAGTGACTATCTCTGCTGCGTAAGTATAGAGGCAGAAAGATCTGAGAAAATCTTAGAGGAAGATGGGAAGCTTAGAAGTTTCTAATGGGGTCACATCAGCAGTGACATCTAAAACATTAACAAGACTCCAGCGCACATACATGAGTCACAGTCCGCACTAATTTGACTAAGGGTGCTGTTGGTGAAACTATACAAAAGTCACGAATTAAGATCACAACCATCTTGACCTATCTTGAAACTTTTCTATACATAGGCATTCATTTTAATACAAAATCAAGTCACAATCCCAAGAGCACAATAAATTCACCCATGATTTGGCAATCCATCTCTCCATTAAGAGCTTTAGATAGGCGTTCAATGAAAAAGGTTTAGTCGCACAGGCTGATTTGCATGTTTGTGAAACTCAAGGTGAGCTGTGGCGATGCAATTCTAATGCATTGTATAAAAACTATGCCCACCAGATTGTATCTGCCAAAACAAGCTGCTTTCTGTGAAAAATAACGAGGGCGTTGCTGATGTGAATGTTTAAAAGACACAACATTTACATTTATCTCCGAATGATTGCACGTTATAACACCAATAAGAGTCTACAGCATTCTCATGGGTCTGTAAGGGCTGTATTTAGACTTATAGCTTCATGCTAACACATTTTTGGTTTAAGATGTTAGCATGGTTACATCTGCATCAACACAGGGTACAGCTGAGGCTGATGGAAATGTAATTATTTTGGAGGTGTTTGCTCATAAACCAAAGTACCAGACAATTCAAAAATCTGACCTAATGATGGTGCCAGAGAACAGGGCGAGGGACAAGTAAATTAATTGCGCATATTGTAAGTTCAGGCATGACACCATGTCAAACTCACATCCCAGCTACATCAGCTGATCTCAAACAGCCCAGTCAACTGATGGATCAGCTGATTGATGGAGGGGAGTCAGCTGATAAATCACATGATTCCTTTCTATGCAATCAATTGGTGAATCTCATTCAGGGCGCCCTATTTAAACTGCTCTGGCTTACCCACTGTTGCTGTTTCCTCTGCAAGCTGCTTTGAAATTGTTTTTGATGCCTTCTCAGTTCTGTTCCTGCAGGGTCTTTGCTGCTGCTCTCCCTGCCTTAGGCTTGCCATGGAGGCGCATGGAAGGGCAGGGAGGTGTGCTCTCTCTGCCCTATGGATATCCACATAGGTGTGTGGAAGAGGCTTTCTGCATAGGCCTAGGAAAGGCAGAGAGGCCCCAGAACAGAGCCATACTGCCAAGTACAATACTGGAAATGGAAAATATGGATATATGGTTTTATGTGACTAAAGTGGTCCTGACTGAATTATAATTAATCCTTAGTGGGACATCAATGTATAAACAAAAGTTCATGGCAATCCACTAGGGGTGGGAATCTCTAGGCACCTCACAAATCAATTCCAATTAAACTTCTTGCAATTATATTCTATTCATGATTTTTTTTTAACTGTGTCCCTTCTTGCTACTTTTAAAAGATATCCTATTTGTAATGATACATGATTAAAAAATAAAACAAAGATGGATTCACCATCGTTATAATGGATGCCTAGCCTAGCCTTCCAAGTGGCAACCTCCAAGGCCGAAAAATGAAGTCAAGGCATCAAGTGCCAAAAACTGCAGTTCCTTGAACAGCCACTTGGGGCTGGCTCCGCAATGGAGTCAATCCCCATAGACACCCATATCAAAATGCTTGAATTTAAAATAGAAATAAACACATTTACAGCCTGGTACAAAAAACGGTTTTGGTCTTTGTAGGTAATTTCAACATTTGTATGGAGGGTGAATTTTTAAATAACTCACATGTTTAAATTTCATCAAGGCTTAAAAATATACATGTTTAGGAGTGAAGCTGCTTGAGTAACAGGCTGTCTGCAAGCTGTCGCTAAAGTCTATGAGTCAGATCCACCCCTCTCTCATCCACAACTCCACCCTCTTGTCCAAATATGGTCCCTTCTGGCTCCAAAAAACCAAGATGGCGACAGCTTAACTGCCAAACTCTAGGCTCAAACAGCAGTTGACAAACCAATGGGTGATGTCACGTTAGCTACGTCTATTATTTTCTACAACCTATGATCTTGATGCATCAACATTTTTTTCTATTCATGATTTATTTCTTCTTACTGTGTTCTTACTTGCTACTTTTTAAACACAGAGTATTTGTAATGATCTATAATTAAAATAAACAAATGAATTTACTACATTATCTCTTATTTATACAATAGTGGTAAGAAATGGAAGCCGAGCCAAGCTAACCCAAGCCTAGAATGTAAACAGGATGCACATGTTTGTGTCCCTTTCATGTCCAGTTGGTTCAGCCATAAAGAACGTACAGCCCAGTCTTACAACATTTCTTACAGGCCATCATGTCAAAAATTATATATCATTTTTATTATTACTGATTTTTCTACATCGAGACATCATCTTTTAAAAGAGAATTGTTATGCATCTAGACAACCATTTTTCCTCTCACCCCTACAATCCAAGAGACAACTGACTCAGAAACACAAATGTGAACCTCATGGTGGTGCTGGAGGAACAGTCATGCAACTAGCATGGCTAAAAATCTCAATATATATGACTGAGAAATTGATTCAGACATAGAATGAGTTAAAACCTTATCCTGTTATTTTCTGCAGCTGTCTGACTCTTACTGCATGTTTTCAGGATTCATATTACAGAACATCAAAGGGTTACATGATTCATAAAGATAGGTACAAAAATTGCATTATTTTCCATTTTCAGCACTTCAGGTTACACGCAGTATACTTCTCATGCCTAATTCATGTTGTTTTCTGCACTGGATCGACAAGAGAATCAAATCAGGTCATGTAAATGTTAAAGGTGATACTTACTGGGATTCCTCGTGGTCCTATTGGGCCTGGAGGGCCTGCCTCTCCCTGATAAGGAAAAAAAAATGGCAGCACCAAAGGTCAACTGTTATACGCATGTATTTAACTTTACCAAGTATAGCATGACCTCAGCTTGTGTTTGGATACTCTGCTTGTATATGTGCATGCCTGTCTGTAACTTACCCGCAGCCCTGGTTTCCCATCTTTTCCATCAATTCCCTCAATCCCAGGGGGGCCCTTTCATTGCAAACACAGACGGAGAGTGCAAATGAGGATACTGAACAGCTTACAGGTCATAGATATGTTAGAATGGGTCAAACTGGTAATACAATATTTATATACCATCAGCCCAGGGGAGCCTGGGGAGCCTGGTGGTCCAGTTGGTCCCTGGGAACCTTGAGTGCCATCATTGCCCTTTGAAAGCAGAGATTTTCAGCACAACAACAGATAATGTTGGATGCAAAAACTAAATGTGTGACTTGTACTCACCCTTTCGCCTTTGAGCCCAGTGGTACCTTCCCTTCCAGGTTTTCCGGAAGGACCTGGTGCACCCTAAAAAAATACACAGTAACATATAAAATCACTACAACGACTCCAAAGGTAAGAACTTGTTGTAGAGGAGTTATGAATTTACATACTGGTGGTCCTGGGAAACCTGGTTGTCCTTGGAAACCCTTGAAATGGAAAGAGTCGCATATGAATATGGATTTTTAATTTCTAATATTCAAATTTTTCTATTACGTGTATGAGTACAAACCTGATCCCCTTTGGCACCAACAGGCCCTGCTGGTCCCGTGTCTCCTTTAATGCCCTGCAGACACAGATGGGCTCAAATTATTCTCTCTTATTACAGTTTGTAATGATAAACGAGGAAGCCAGGTCTTAATATTGCCGAGCAAAATTTATGATGAAACACTGACCGCTGCACCAGCCGGCCCTTGGTACCCAGGGTTACCAGGAGCCCCCTGCAGAGGTGAAGGAAATGTTAGCCAGTTAATATGCAACACTATCACTGAAGGCATTGTGTATTATATCACATTAATGCTATAATGGCTTACTGATTCTCCTTTCTGACCAGCGCTTCCTGGGCTCCCGCGTTCGCCCTTCAGTCCCTGACAAATACATATAGACACTTAATCAATGTAACCACCTTTCCATCCATTAAAGCTGTCAGACTGCTCTCCATCCCATACTTCTTTTATAATGAAGCAGATAAGAGTAACTTACAGGAAGTCCAGGCGGTCCCATGGATCCTGGATAGCCAGGCGTCCCTGGAGGGCCCTGAGGTAAAGTTCATACAATCAATCAAGCATGAAAAAAAATATTTTTCTACATGTTATGATTTCGGGGAAACTGATTGGCAGATACTCGCCTGTTCGCCCTTCAGTCCTGCGAGGCCGGGTAACCCTCGCTCACCCTGCTGACCCTGAGAATGTCAGAGTGAGAAATGATTAGAAAATGAGGGAGTAGATGTGATATGTATGCTTCCCTGGTGGAAATGTGCCAAGGACAAGGCGAGTCAATATCAAAGGGAGGAAATAGCGAACTGGCTTGTGCCGTCTCCCTCTGGGACTGCCTCCATTTGATTTTGTCCTCTGCTCTACACCTCCATCAGGCTTCAGGATACTGATTTAGGTCTATGATGGTGATATCCGGAGGCTGAACATCGCCTGCTCGGTCCAGCTGGATGCTGCATTCAATTTTTATTTTTCACTCCCCGCACCAAAGATACAAAATGGCTTCCCTCCTTTCATCCTCGCCTCATTTATTGTGCTGCAGATTCAGATGCAAACTCTACCAAAGCTGCAGACTTCATTAAGTCATTTATCTCTTTGGGACATCGAACAAACAAAACGAATGAGCAGCATTTGTGTGTTACTAAGCAACAAAATATGTGATCACACTACAGACTGACTTTACCTCTGTAATGCATAACATCTCAACCCTAATTGAATACTGAATGCTGTTTTGACATAAACATTAATATGCATGTGCGAGTGTGATCTGTTGCCTAGCAACAGCTGCTGTAAGCGGAAGACAGATGAGTGCTGGAAGAAAAGAAAGAAGTTGGAGTGAATAAAAGAATGTCAATGGACCCTTTCAAGAAGGTGGTGGTGGTGGGGGGTGATAATTAACTGTTTAGCTAATTGTCCTTTTAGAATAAATAAATAAAGCTGAACATCAACAAAATGTTAAGAATATCACTGTGAGATATTAGTTATTAGAGTGATTACTGAGGGCTGTAATTTAGAGAAAGTAATTACTAATTGATCATTCTAAGGGGAAACTAATTAGTAGCTCATCATTGTGAGTAACTTCCTCGCCACTGAATATGAGTGATGTAATCAGCAGCGGGGTCACACATCTCTCCCTCACAAACAGTACAAACAGACACACGGCGGCACACAGCGGACGCTAACACCTGCTATAAAGTGCCACTACGCCGCAAATGGATTCCATGCAGCGCTCACACAGCTCATCCATTTAGCACCTCTATTCTCCTAAAACAATAAATCTGTATGAGGAGGAGGAGGAGGGGGAGGGGGAGGAGGGGGAGGAGGAGGTGGAGGGCTCGGTCTGCACAGCGGTCCCACTCTCCATCACTTAGACGGGGGAATAATTGAACAACTGGAGAAAGAGACAACCAAATCGTTTCCTCATCTGAAATAACTTTCATTAGAGAGCCACGGGGAGACGCAGAGAGGGCGGAGAGATGGCAAGGATGGCATAATCAAGGGCTGCTTGATATAAAAGTGGGATGATCGGTATTTGAAAGAGTCAAAAAGAAAGAGAGGAGCAGATCAGATACAGGTATTAAAATCAAAGGTGGAAAGTAACTGAGTACAAATAGTCAGTTTTGAGGTGCTTGTTCTGTTTCTATCTAATGCTACTTCAAACCTTTATCTTATTACATTTCAGGGGAAACTATTGTACGTCTTACTCCACTACATTCATTTGACAGCTATATTTACTTTTCAGATTAGGATTCTACATCAAAAGAAATAAAACAACATCTAATAGTTTTAAGAAGACAATGCATTGCTAAAGTAAAAATTCTAATGTTTTATTAAAGATGGTTTCCCCCATAATAACTTCAAAAAAGGAACTTAAAAAGAAGCTGGAAGCTGATCTTCTCTTTCTCACTTATTGCTTTCATTTTCCACTTTCTCCAGTGCTGTTTGCACTAGGCTGACCAGTGAAAGAGCAGTGAGCATCAACATGACTAAACTGACAACTAGTGTGGTGTAGTTGGCTTTTGTTTATGTTGTTTGACAGCTTGATAGCTTGATAGCTGGTTAATATCTATAGGCTGCGATGGGGCTTTTGATAGACAGTGGAAGGAAACTCCAAAGTCCGTTTTACATCCAAAAACTTCACACTCAACCTTGTTTGCTGTCAAAACATTCACTATGCTAATGAAAATTCTGACAATTGCACCGGAGCTTTCAGATATCCATCTAGATAAGGAAATGCACCAACATCTCCCCCTTCAGTAGAGGACTGTGAACATACCTCTCTAGTTACAAACCTTGCACAGATACAAATCAGACGTTTTAGGGGTAACAAACATAAGAAAAAGACAATTCTAAGGGACTTTAAACATTAACCAGTAGTTTTGAACCTTTCTGCAGAAGATGTCAAAACTTCTAAAACAGTTTGAAGCCTGAATAGGGAAAAATAAAAACCCAATATTTCACAGAAGAGCAAAGATTAGAGAAAATGAAAACAATTTCTGCAGCAGACACTTTTTTCCTGTCTTCTTACGTGAAAAATCATCTCACAAACACTTTCAGAGGGGGCTGACCCATAGGTTTAGAATCACTGCACTAAACTGTGTATGAATTAGAGCAAACTATCTCCACCTCAACCAGCTACAACAGCAAAATGCTGTGTACATATTGATGCATCAGTATTAGGAATGAAATTATGTCATATATCATTAGTCGGGAACCAGTACTTTCACTCTAATATTTTAAATCTAATAATGTTTCTGCACTTTTACTCAAGTTAAAGATTTTTATTTGTACTGAAGTATTCTGACATTGTTTTATTGGTACTTTAATTTAATTAAAGGATCTGACTATGTGTTTCATCACTGATTAAAGAGAGGAAAACAGTGTAAATGAAGTGTGAATTAGACTCACAGGTAAACCAGATGGGCCCTGAGGACCTGGGAAACCAGGAGGTCCCTGTGGACAGAAAACATTGAAAGCAACACCTGAGATGAGATGAACTCAGTTATGGACATGAATAAATGCAGGCCTGTGTTGAAAGCAGGTTTGAACTTGTTCCTGATGATGAAGTGAATACCAGAAGCACTGCAACAGAGCTAGTGTGTAAATCAGTGCTGAGGAGATGAGTGTGTTGGGCCACACTGTACGGCATTTTCACTGAGACCAGTAGGGGGCTCTGTGAAATCATGGAAAGTGGCAAACACAAGCTCCTCTCAACTCACTTCAGATCTAAAGCTTTATGACAAAAACCCAACGGTACTGTCCTAAAATATAAATTAAGGAAAGAAATTGAACCTCTTCCCTCACAGACATACTGATGTAAGGCAGTGATTGGAATGCACTTTCTATTTCTCAAACATTTTGGGGTGATAATAGAGTTTTCAGAGTGGCAAGTGTGGAAAAATATGTCATTAAAAATCTGCATATACTACTGTGTGGATGAACTGTAGGCACATCCGCACAGTAGATGAGGACCTTTACAGCTTTCATATCGAGCCAAATGACAGGAAAATATGTGTCTTAAACTAAAATATGGTGAAATATTATGGTGTGTCTAGGCTCCAGGAGCTACAGTTGGGCTGTCTGGGATGGTTCAACAAGAGGAAATATTGCTGGATCTCACCATGTTCCCTGGTATTCCAGCTGGACCTCTATCTCCTGGTATACCCTGTAGTAAAGATGAAAGAGAAAGGTGATCGCAAACTCTCTGAAGCCATTTTGATATGCATACCTGGACAAAGGCAAACACACATACACTCTCATATCAAATGAAACCATTTATGCCAACAACTGAAACTTGGCTTGTCTAAACACAAATCTAAAGAAACTTTCTAAATTGGTCAAACAATTTAGCTCAAAAGGGAGTTTTTCTTATTATACTGTATCTAGTCCTTGTGCACAGGTATGGGACTATCCATCCATCCATCCATCCATCCATCCATTTTCAGTAACTGCTTATCCTCTTGAGGGTCACAGGGGGGCTGGAGCCTATCCCAGCTGACACTGGACAAGAGGCAGGGCACACCCTGGACAGGTCGCCAGACTATCACAGGGCTGACACATAGAGACAGACAACCATTCACACTCACATTCACACCTACGACCAATTTAGAGTCACCAGTTAACCTGCATGTCTTTGGACTGTGGGAGGAAGCTGGAGTACCTGGAGAAAACCCATGCTGACACGGGGGGAACATGCAAACTCCGCACAGAAGGGCTCCCCCACCCTGGGATCAAACCAGGAAGCCTCTTGCTGTGAGGCGACAGTGCTAACCACCACACCACCATGCCGCATGGGACTACTGTTTTTTCAATAGATTCAATCGTATATTAGGAAAAACAATACTCTCATGTGCCCAACAACTAGATATAGTATCAGAAAATGGTTCTATCTCAACAACTACAAGAAGCCCAACAAGTATTACACATAATAAACAAAATGTTAGCATTTTCCTCATCATTCTGAAACCGTGACTTTGACTATTGATAAAAATGTATTCTTTAATGTGATCTAAAAATGTCCAGGATTCAAGACTTTAAACAAATCAGAACAAATGCTATGGCATTTTTTCCTTAGCACACTAAATATAATCTTTAGGTTAGCAGTACTGTGTATATATATGAGAAAACAGTCACAGACTCACAGGCTCTCCCCTGATTCCCGGTGATCCAGGCGTTCCTGGAATTCCAGGTGATCCTGGTCTGTCATCCTATGAGGCAGAGAAATAAATCAACCAGAGAATGTGCACATACATCTCTGTGAATGTGTTTATGTGTCTGTGTGCATTTCCCTGGAATATAATAATGATCTCCACTGACCACTGGTTGTGTCGCCTGCTCTCTCTGCAGTCTCTCCAAACACTGGAAGCAGACAAGATAATAAGTTATCAGAGTAATGCCTTACTGCTGGCACTGTATTATGTCAGACGGATAACTAAGAAAGAAAGAAAGAAAGAGACAAGGAACTCCCGGTCCCTGCAAGTCTTACCTTGTCACAGCTGTCCAAGGGGGTTACACCAGGCTTACCCTGGTCTCCTTTTTCTCCCTTAGCACCAGTCGTGCCTGGTACACCCGGAATTCCTATGGAGCAGTTCCCATCTTCACAGCCCTTTTGTGTTGTAGAGAGATAATTATTTAAACACGAAAACACTGATCAACTGTTTTCATGCCAAAGAAAAGAAAAGAAAATCCCCATTTCCCAAAAACGCAGTTTTACTCATAGACTCACCACATCCCCATCTCCTCCAGCAGAGTCTCGAGGAAGCTGCTGTGGTCCTGTGATGCCCTAGAGACGGGGCAGGGAAACCAAAATAAAATTAATATTTACTTTATGGTATTAAGTACAAAAATTAAGGGAAACCCCAAGTATAAAAATTAGCTCTTTTTGTCTACACTCAACAAACCCAAAGAAAGTTCCCCAATGTTTTTCTCCAGATACAGTTTAAGGACAGCAGTGCAATGTTTTCTTCCACAACTTCCCAATTCCACAATGACAGGACAACACCTCCTCAACTTTTATGTACTTTACTGTATAACAGTCTGTCATTAACACCGAGATGGATTTTGAGTTCCAAATGGTAAAGACACTGCTTTGGTATAAAAGAAGTGAACATAGTCTCCAGGTCTAAAAAGAAAAGCCAACACATAAGTGCCTTAAACCTGCATTTTTTCTAATGCCCAGCAGGGGGCGACCCCATTGGTTGCAAAAAGAAGTGTGATGTTTGTAGGCCTATGAGAAAATGACCCCACTTCTCACTTAACTCATTACCTCAGTTAACGTTTTCCTAATAAGTTTATGATCTCAATAGCTAGTTTCAAGCATCTTCAACACACGCATGATGTTCATTTTGTGAATTATGGTCCCATTTAGAGTAAAAAAGACAGATCTACCTTGTGACTGACAAGTTGCTGGCCAAGTGGGATAGAGGCAAATGCATATGTAAGCACTTAAGTAGCCATGATCTTGTTTTTGGGTGTTGTCCATGTTTTCATCTTAGAACTTTGACCCTTGCAGTGTTAATCAATGTTATTTGTAACATTCTAAAAATGTCCTGTTTAGTGTTCAGTTGTACCAAAAATTGGTGTTTCATTTTTCTCTCGTAAGTGCATTTTGTTTTGCGTTTGTTTTTTATGTTTGCCAAAATGAGCATCCTCAAACGATATCAGTTAACATGAATTGCGGATGCACCTGACTAACCAAGCTAGCTAACTAGTGTTAGCACTGGTGTTAGCTGATAACTAAGCATTTGTCAGGCTGCCGGTATAGTGTGCATTGTGTCCTTGGGTTCTCAGTCAGATCCACCCCTTGCCTCTTCACAGCTAAGCCCTCTCGTTCAAATAGGGTCACTCCTTACTCCAAAAAAAAAAAAAAAGATGGTGACGGCCAACATGCCAAACTCAAACTGTACATCCCAATACCCATACTACCATACTACCATGGTATGCCAGAAGAAGATTTAGCATGTTCCATTACATAGTATGCCAAATGCAGTATCCCCAAAATACCAGGATGTTCTACTACATCCAGTCCGATTTTGCAGTATGCATGCCAGCATGCTTTTCTGGCTATTCTGACCCACAATCCTCTGCACAGCGGACGATACGTCACATTGAATGAACACTGACAGAGATGCAGATGTAACTTCACTGTTGCAAATATAATGTTTGAATCTACAATCTGTGCAGGTAGAACTTTAAAGTTCAACTACACACATTGCAATGTAACAACTGCAGAGCTCTCCGGGTTGATCTCCATCTCTGGTGATCTTGTTAATTGGTGTTTGTTTTACCTCCAAGGTCACGGACATAAAAGCAGAAGGGTCAAAGTTCACAGCGTAATGTTATGAGAAAGTAGTATGTTCCGACTTTGTGCATACTACATGCAACAGTACGTACTTTTTAAGCACAGCTGTAGTACATACTAAAAGTCAAAATTCAGAACGCACCCAAGGCTTCAAAACAGAAGTCAACAACCCAACGGGTGACGTCACATGTCCACTGCTTTTATACAGTCTATGCTTGGCACTGGTTGAGTGCTACATGCTAATGCTAACCAGGATAGGTTTGTGCATTCAGATGGAAGAAGTGCACAGTATTTGTACTGCACTGTGCTGAGTCTGTCAAAGAGTTGTTGAAATCAAACATTAGGTGGAGTACACCTCACTTGGTACAAAGTGTCACAACCTTTCCAAGCAATATATCTGTGTAGGACCATCGTCTCATTCAGTACACAGCCAAGACAAAATAAAAGACTGAGGTTGCAGAATGGACAGTATTTCACCCCTCATCCAAGATTCAGTTAAGAACTTCTTTTTCGCCTTACTCTACAACTACAAAGCATTTTACTATGGTTTCTCAAAATATCCGACATATTTATTTACTATTTTCACATTAATGCTGATAACATCCTCACTGCACCACATGCAACCCTCTGTTCTGTGCCATTATTTTCTATGTAGCTGGCTGAGTTTGGTGTCAAAGATTTCACTCATGTTAACAAAAGGTTTTATTGGATTTTATGACTCAAAAAAAGCCTTCACAAACCCTTAAAAGTCAGCAGTGTTGATTCTTGAATGTCATAAAGAGACAGATGTGACAAATATGAACCGGTTAAACAAAATAGCAGATTTACACCAGAAAAACAAACAAACAAACAAACAAACAAAAACCTCAGTGCCCATTTCAACTAATGGCTGTGAAGCTGTAATTAAAGTCTGTCAAAACCTCAAGTCTGCACCAAGAAAGCAGGACACACACACAACATGCTCTGCCTGCACATAGTGTACATACACAGAAACACACACGCTGGATGAAAAAAAACAACAAAAACAATTAACAGACAAATGCCACAATGGAGTTACATTGCTTGTTTTTTTACTGACGTCTGAAATAAAACGGCTCACTCCACAAACCCAATCACATTTATTATGAACGGCGGTCTGCTCGCTATCAAAGCAGTGGGACCCTTTCTACTGAGAGAGTCTGTCAATAGCACCTGGCCTGGTTTCAAAGTCATTACAAACCCATTTTACATTGTTCAACTGGAGCCATTAGATAGAAAGGCTATTTCATGCCACGTGCTATTGGCTGTTACACGGGCACAAGGCTTTGTGCATTAACAGACTCACTCAAAAGAGGGTTCTCTGTAATTATATGTTGCTGCGCGGTGTTCACTTCTGCCACACTTAAAGCGATCTGCAAATTGCTAACTTTGTGATTTCTCAGAGCAACGTGGTGTGTTTCAGAGACGATTCGAGTGGCTTTTGAGAGCTACAGCATGTTGTCACTTTGTGTGATATAATATCTGCAGAGCCATGGAAGAAAAAGACTCATTGATGGGTTTATCCACCAACATTGAGGCCAAACTAACTCCTGACTTGTGTGTGCATGTGAGTTTATGGATGGCAGACAGTTCCAACGTTTCCACTGTGGTCAAACTTATTATGGTGGGTGCCAGTATTTAGCCATTCTGCAATATGGGCAGAGCTTACCCTTCAACTCAGTCACATTTCCCTGCATCTCTTCCTTTCACCCATGATCCATGTATGCATTTAAACATGAAGATCATGGCTGCTTACATGTATCTCAGCAACAGAGGTGTTGCTTAAAATGTGATCAATCAACTTTCTGCAGAGAGTTTCTATAGGATCAGGCTCAAATATTCCCCGGAGTCATCTAATGATTTTCCAGCAGTTCCCTATCCTCCATTAAACCACTACTTTAATTCCCATGTTGAAGGTTAAGTTCCCCTTGAGTGCTGGCTGGAGATCAGCATCGATGTTTCTCTAATGAAATTAAGCCATCAGCAGACTTGAAAGAAACAAAACTGACACCCTGTACAGTAAAAATCCACGGATAACTTCCCAACACTCCAGCTCATTTCTCCACTTTGATGTCGTCCTTGCACTTACTCTCAGTAAACTAGCTTTGTCTACAAGAACACATGAGAACTTCTGAGTTTAAAAACAGATCTGAAACCAGATGCGCAACTTGCTGAAACTCTGACTATGTAGTAATTGCAAAACCCCCATGTGTTCCAAGTTGTAAATCTCAGTCACCATGAAATATGCCGGCATATGCACACGCCTTATGTCTACTCCCAGTTATCCAAAAATAGACATCAACATACTGCTTTTTAATATTGTGCGACATAAACCAAACTTGCACTGTCCTTGGTCTGGCATCAGCAGCATCCTTTAACTGCACAACAGCAGCATGTGCTTAATATTTATGCTTTAATACCCTTTTAATCACGCCACCATAAAATCACTACTCAAAAAATGTGTTAACACATAACACAACTATGATTGTTATTAACTGGAAATGTGTTGACATTTATGGAGTCAACTTTATGACAAATGTTACAAATTATGACCTCGTATTACTTACTAAAGTTTCCTTAAATGAATAATTTGTGACCTTAAAAAACTAAGTTCTCAAATCAAATGAAGCACCCATGGAGACATGGGAGGTTCTTATTTATAAATTCCACCTCCTGACACATGCATTCATTTTGTGCTTCTGCATCATTTATACACAAGGCCCCAGATCTCCAATCAGTAAATAAGAGCCGCCTCTCCTCCTTTTCTCTCTAATTTTACTTACGCTGTATCCAGGCAAACCCGGTTCCCCCCGTAACCCGTCGTTTCCAGGGATACCCTGAAAGAAGGAACTGAGGTTGAAGTGGGTTGTTGCCAATCGACGGCTAGCCACTCCCATCTCCACCAAGGGCCAAGGCAGAGTCAAAGGGTCAGAATGATCAAACCTATTCCTTCTTCTGCCATTACTTATGAAACTTGCCGTCATTTTGCACTCAGCGATAATGCACCCTTGTCAAAGACATGACCTCCTCCATCACCACTTTGGATGTCTTTCTTACACCTTTGACTCTTGCAGCACAGATCACAGTAGCACCTTATTTGAAGGTCTGGTCCAGTTACAAACTTTAGAAATTAATCAAACTGATACTTAAAATCAGCAATGCATTTTTGTGTACATTTATATTTTAGACCTTCAAATAACTGTTCATGTCTTGACAGACATTCCCAAAGCTTGCTCTGTTGCTTCCCACATGGGTTAAAGCTTAAAGCCCCGGACAAGTTAGTGCATTTATCATTTGATCCTGATTATCTAAGTTTATTTTAAACCAACATTACGTTCAGTAAATAATGCTGCTCCACTTTCCTACATGCATATCATGAACTTCATTTCCCCCACATGTTGCAAAGCATATCAAAGCACTGCTTTTCTAAAGTACTCCCACTGCCCAAGCTGAAAGCCTACATCATAAGCAGCTTGTAATTTAATCCAGACTGATGGAGCAGCTACTGAAATGAGCTGAAGAAAGACCCCTCTTCACCATCCCACTGCCCATTTCTCTTACCTGTGGTCCTTGGGTTCCAGTAACACCCTGAGGCCCGGGTGGGCCAGGTGGGCCAGGAGGTCCTGGTGGGCCCTGCAACACCCAAAGACATAGACACAAATGGCATCACATATTCATAACCAAACACTAATGAAGAGTTCTGTGCACAAACTTTGCAAGGTAATGATAGAAATAAAGCTTGCAAACACAGCTTAAGTTATGAGATAGGACTGCTGCCTGACAGATCAGACCTGAGGCCCGGGCTGCCACATGTTTGCTGAAGTTCCTGGAGCTCCCTGGAAGGTAAAAGTAGTCAAAATCAGAGCAGCACTGGTTCTTGCGAAATATACAGAAAGCGCACAGTGTGACGTTAAGAATAATACAACTAATGTCAAAGCACAGAGATGCAAAGGGGAAATAACTGAGCAGGAAAGTACATTTTTCTCAATATGCCTCCTGTGGAGTCATAATAAACCCCCTGAGTGTGTGTTTAAAAAATCAATGTATATTCAGACTTTTGTTGCGTGGCAACAATACTCTAGATTAAACTAATTGTATGTCTACATATTTATTTCGGTGTGTATGTGTGTGTAGGTGTGTGCAAGCATATACTCACAGGTCCACCTATACCCGTGTGCACGGGGATTAAGCAGTTGCACTCTCCAGGTTCCCCCTGAAATATACATCAAAAAAGACCCATAAAAAAAGCTAAAGTGAAACTCTTTGCAAAATTTTAAGCACAGGCTGCAAAACCCGAGCCCTCATTCAACATTAAAACTCTAGTTACTGTGAGAAAGTCGGAACTCTTTGAGCTTTCAGGACCTCTTCCGTGCAGTTTTGCTAAATCTTGAAATTTTATGCATCACAAAGACACTCAAAACTGCAGGGGGTGAAATGCTGTGAACATTTTTATATTACTTTGGGAACTTGAAGTGTTGCATTATGTGAATTTGCCTCCAAAAGCTTAATGTAGTGCAAAAATGCAATGAATATATGGTACTGTGATTTCACCTTATATCTGTATTAAAAGGAGCTTACCTGGTATCTCCAATTACATGCCCGCTTACTACTTTACTTTAACATCCAAGTCAGGTTTTTACAGTATACATGAGCTCTTCAGGACATCTCCAGATTCTGTATGAATACACTGAATAAAGATTCTGAACCCTCTGCAAAATCTTACCTATTTTGCTCATTCTCTCTTAGTTTTCTTGACTTTTCCCTCTTTAACTATGGGCTCCTGTCCCACATCTCATACCCCTCCCGACCTTTAAGCACTGCCTCCACCGCTTCTTCATATCTCCCATTCTCTCAGTGACAGTCTGGACCGGTGGCTCTGATGAATGCCGTAATTAATAGTCTCACACACTTTCTCTCTTAAGGCTCCGAAACTCCTCTTGTCTGCCAGCAACAGTACACTCGTCACCTCCGCTGCTACTCTATCTGAGGCTCGAGGCAGGTGTGTGCATGTGCGTCTAACCACATGTATATGTGCGTGTATGTGTGTGATGAGAGGAGGGGGGTGTTGAACCATCTCTTGTGATTACCATCTGTTCCACCCCCTTATATTCAAACCCCTCCAGATCCCTTCATCCAAACAAAACGGTAGACTTACCTTGTCCCCCTTAGCCCCGTCAAATCCCTGCAAAAGAAGGAGACAGCACATACACACACAGAGACACACACACAAACACTTAGTTACTCTTGCTTTGTTGTTCCAGAAGAAAGCTCACGGGGCAGTGAGCTGAGCGTAGATCAGGGGACAGAGGATGAGATGGGAGCAGACATTGCCTCTGTTATGGATCGAGGCAGACATCCTTGGTTACAAATGATGCCTAAATCAAGGACAATTCCCAAAGAAGCTCAAAGAAAATTAAAACTCTGAACAGACGCTAACACTGATGCAACAACTCAAGTTTGCGACTTAGATTTCTTTAACATCTCCTCCAGTTGTAGATGCAAATGTACAGAAACATGCAAAATGAAACACTTTAGACAATAAAGTGACGAGACAACTCACAGGTCTGCCATCATCTCCTGGCGATCCTTTATGCCCGCGGGCTCCATCTCTACCCTGTTTGTGGGAGAAAAAAAGTAAATAGGAAACAGTGTTTGACAAAATGACATCTTATGCGCACATGCTCATGCAAAAAGATGAATTTTTGTCCTACCGGGGGCCCTGCTACTCCAATGCCCTCAGGCCCCTGTGGTCCTGGAGGTCCAACATCTCCTCTGGAGCCCTATGAACAAGAACAGTGTACGTCATATGGGCTTACTGTCTCAAACCAAATGAGGTGCACTTGATTGCATATTGGAACAATAACTTGGATTTCTACCTTTTCCCCTGCAGGACCAACAGGGCCAGTCAGTCCGTTGGCTCCAGGCGGTCCCTGTACAAACACACTGATTACCCCAAATTCTCAAATGTAGTGCAGAAAATAGGACATTAGAGATATGAGATGACTTACTGCAAGTCCTGGGAGCCCTCTTGGTCCCTCTTCACCCTATGACATGAATAAAATCGACAAGGAAAAAGTCAGGCAGGAGGTTTAGGAGGGTGGGAAACAAAGAGTGGAGATTTGGGTGGGGAGGCCTGACTGTAAGAGCTGTCTCACAGTGGAGCAGTAGGGAAGAACAGGCTTCCCCATGTCAACAAAGCAATGAAGAGTCTACAGTGATTAAGGGATTTGAAAGAGAGTGGCCAAGGATTATTTATAGATGTGATGATAAATGTATTGTTAGATCTAAGAGGTAGGAAAAAGCTGATGTCATGGAAGGATATGGTGCTCATTACTGAGATCACAGCGGGACGGCATCCACCTAGGAGCCGTGTGTTTGTTTTGTATGACAGAGCTGCTTCAGCTGTTGACATAAAACACCAGATGTGGACACATCAGTCTTACTTGGGGTCCTGGAAGGCCAACTCCTGCATCTCCAGGCTCTCCCTACAGGGGGCACAGGACAACACAGATTACAATCTGTCAGTGATACACGATTAGACACAATCCTCCGCATGTATTTATGAGCATGATAATACAATTAACAGAAATTCACACCTTGCCTCCTTTGGGTCCAGCAGGCCCCTGCACACCTGGTAATCCTGGTTTTCCCTGAAGAGAAAACACGCACGATGATTATCAGCAATTTTTCCAGTTCAGAGAGCCAGAAGTACCAATATAAATACATGCATAGCAATATGTATATTATACATGAATAAATAAATACACAATTCCCTTACATTTTTGCCTGGCTTCCCATCCCCTGCAGGACCGGGTTCTCCTCTCTCTCCTTTGGGGCCTGGCACAGCTACACCATCACCCACTGCAGTGCCCACAGAAGGACAGCTGGTACAAGCATCACCCTGGGAAAATACAACAAGTCCAAACCATGATCCAGGAACCTTTTTCGAATACTCAAACATAAGTTGGAAAATGATGGTGCCTCCATTTAGCCAATCAGTGTCCATGTTTAACCAGTGGCTACCATCATTGGTCCAAAAGTGTGACACTATGGTATCACCTGCAATTTGACGTCTCCATGGATGGAGAGTCAGAAACCAGATCCATACAAACTCAAAAAGACCCAACAACACATCATATATGGTGTGCAGACAACATGACTGCTACATAACACTGTAATCCCTTCACAATTGATGGAGCAGATACTTAATAGGGTGCAGCAAAGTTAATCTAACTCAAAAGTTCAGAAACTCTGTACCTTCTCTCCCTTCAAGCCTCTTATTCCATCCCGACCAGGCTCTCCAGGCAGTCCTGGGACTCCAGGAGCTCCGTCCAGTCCCTTTTCTCCTGTATCTCCTTCGTTACCCTAATAACAATCAAAAATGATGATAAGAGGCCTCAAACAGTCAGCTCTGTGTACTTTAGGGTACCATGTGGAGGCTTTTTTTTTACCACTAGTAGTGCTATGGAGCAGCGTTTTCGTGAGTGGGTCCTGCTTTAATTGTGTTTTTTGTCATGTGCATGCAAGAGGACCCCATTGGTCACATAATATTCCACTGATTAACAGTTGGTGGCTGTGATGTGCCAGAAAAGGCAGCAAAACACCAAGAGAAGCAGTTAAGAAGACTGCTAACAAGTAAACAAGTCATGCTAGATTATTCAAATATTCAGAAGATCAGCTTTGCAAATGTTTTATGAGGAAGAAATGCACTCATTTATACACACAGTGTGTTTGGGTTGAGAAACACTGAATGTAAACATAACTTTTCTTTGTTTATACGAAAACTCCACAGGGTACCATCAATTTCCCTCCGCAATCTGTTCTGTAGTCGAGTTAAAGCATTATTTTTTATCATAATTGTCTGATTTGAGTTTTCTTGTTTTATTATTAGATTTATTTAACTGTCAAACACTGATAATGGTATCAGCCTTGAAAATCCTCTGTCGGTCTGGCTCTGCTTTGAAGTCCAAGCAAAGTGATTGTGGGAGAGCTTCAAGGTAATTTAAAGCAGTCCATCTCTGTTGATGGCAGATTTATTTCCCAGTATTTTTTCTGAGTAGAGCAATGTGAACGTTCCAAAAGACGGACTTGGTGACCTGAAGTAAAGAAGAGTGACTGGGCTCTCGTGAAATATAAGTCCATACTTTGTGGGGTGATTTTCCTGCAGACATCCTTGGTCCCTGTAGTTGTCACATTAGCAAAGAAAGTCTGACTGTCTCTAAAGGCAAGCGACCAAGGCAGCTAGCGACTCCAAATAGCCTAATAACTCTAGGTTATGCAGTGAGTTATTTAGGGTAGTCTGTTTGGGGTATGTGTATTTTGGGTACAAGTTATTTAAAACCATACAGAACGCCCAAGAGACATTGATTAGTTGGTTTTAATGTCTCAGCTGTCATCAAGTCTCTTTAATGTGGGTCACTGATACAATACACAGTGTGTGGAAACATCTCAAACAGCTTTTTATAGACTAGATCTTCAAGAAACTTCAGCAGGAAACTTACCTTTTCTCCTTTTGCACCAGCAAGTCCTGGAGGGCCCTGTGTAAGCAAATAGAAAGTGATGTTTAAGTGCAAGCAGATACATGATACACATGCAGGTGCGCGAGGGACGTACACACCCACACTCCCAAACACATGCAGTCATCTGCAAGTATCGTGCAAGCCTCTATTCATTCAGGTAAAAATAACTGTTGACATAAAGCTAACCGCAGAGGCACACAGCATGTAATTGGGAGGGGTGACAGAAGCCAACAGAGATTTATTACACTTAGTAACAATTGTGCTGTTGGAGGAGAATCCCTGCATATCTTATTTGTACAATAAGCATTGAGGCTCATTTGCCCTTGGGGTGAAATCTTTCAGCATCTCAAACTTTTCTGTAATCCAGATGCAGCTTAATCGGCTTCACCACGACAATGAAATAGGATGGCGACAAGCTGCTCTTTTTTTGTGGCATTTGTGTGATTTTATTTCTATCAGTAATTCAGATAAAGACAGACCAGTCTGACGGTGGGTGTGTTTGCAGGGTGAAATTCCACTGTTTAAAGCTACTAGTCCATACCCATTGGCAGCTTCGTCACCTTCTACCTATGCCAATCCTCAGTGCCTATGTGCAGTTTCACACAGATTGACCACGTAGAGTAGAAAAATGTGGGACAGACAGAATGACGGACAGACAGAATGACACACTGAAAGTTTCCGTGATTATGTACAGCATACCATACCATGACTTAGTCATACCAAAAATTAGAAACAACAACATTGGTCCACAGGGGGAGCCACAGCAATCGGTCACATTTTAGCCATTTTTAAGCATTTTTCTGTTATTATAGTGCCACCTAGTTGCCAATTAGAGTTAAATTTCTCCAGTCACCTTGAGGCGTCCTGTTCTACATATCTACCAAGTTTAGTAAAAATCGATATGGCGGTTAGGCCTAGATAAGAAATGAGCTCTCTAGCGCCCCCATTTTGTTTGATGGGGTTAATAATGGAGGGGTCCCCTCAGATTATGTGTGGTCATATGCCTACAAAGTTGCGTGATGATCGGTGAAACCCTTGAGATGTTAAACACCTTTATGTGATGAGCCACGCCTGCCGCAATATTCATTGCCTTATAGAAGCTCAGTTTTAGTAAGTTTTCCAACTTTTGCCAAGAGGGAACTTTAGATATTGGTCCCTAGATTATGTTCACCGAGTTTCATGCAGATCGGTCAAACTTCCTAGGAAGAGATCAATTTGAAGTGTTTTTCAAAAAATTCAAATTGCGGAAAATCTATATAACTGGAAGTTATGGGTTCTTGAGGCAAATTTGTTCCTCATGAGGAGAGGCATCTCTGTGCAAAGTTTCATGTCTCTACGACATACGGGGCATGAGATATGCCCATTCAAAGTTTGCAATTTCAATCGGTTGCTATAGCGCCCCCCTTTGGCCAATTGATGTAATATTGCTTCATTCGCATCCTCCCATGACCCTCTACCACTGTGCCAAATTTCACATGGACTGACCAAGTCAGTGAGGAGAAAAACGTGGAACAGCCACACACAGATACAGAGTTTTCGTCATTATATAGTAAGATATATTAAGATAGCTGTTAGCTTATGAAAATAAATTTGTGTCATGTATTTGCTGAAATTGTCACTAAATTCTTAAAAAAAAGTGCATGTGACACATAATCTGTGAAAAAACCACGTCCCTCTTTCTCTTCCTACTGCTTCTACTGGCATTCACTAGAATCTACAACGGCTCACCAGAAACAACCAATCAGAGCGCAGTGATCCGTCGTGTCAATCCCTCTATGAACTGCAATCAAACTGTCAAACTCGGTGGCGCTGAACAAATATGAATCATTTCTGCCTCAAATGTTTTCAGAAACATATCTAAGTGAAATGCCTAGCTGTAAAATAAGTTTGAGACTGACTGGCTGTGTTGGAAAATGTCAACCTAAGTAGAAGCTCCGCCCACCAGCTGGAGTAACTTCCTCATTTTACAGCTACACTACAATATGTTGGCAAAAAACAGGCAGTAACACAATCTTGATTTATATTTGATCAGCGCTGCCTAGTTTGACAGTTTGACCGGATTGACATGACTGAAAGCTGCTTTAGAGACACCTCCGCTCTGATTGGTTGTTTTCATTCACATGTAGTAATGCCATTACAAGCGCTACAAGGCAATAGAGTAGGCCGAAGAATATGACTTAACTGTTAAAGGATCTTATCAAATCATGTTTCTTGTTCCTCAGGAGCTTGGTGTTAAGCTACAGCACTGTTCCATGCGCACTCAGTCAAGTTTTATTGTTTCATTAAGGTTTAAAGAGAGACTACACAGTATAATAAACAATATAATGCAATAAAAGCACAGTAACATAGTATGTAATAACACAAAGCACAATAAAACAAGCGGCGGCAATATACCTAAAGCACTGTATGTCATTTCAGCAGATATTGGTCCTTGGTTGTTTTGCTCTTGGCTTTGGGAGTTTGGAGAGCATCATACTGCCCTCTACAGGACGGACCAGAACAGCCTTGAGAGGGCTTGACCTTTTCTCTTCTGAAAATGTATAGTGTGTGTCTCTCTAGTGTTGTGTGCGCAAGGATAGCATCTGTCATTTTTCTAGCCCTCAATCTCATTGGGTTGCTTCTATTACAAGCAAGGCAACAATGTAAACATTTAAAACAGATTAAGTGAAACCAATTTCCTAATTCCAAAAAGCTGCCTGTGTATTTTTGTATAAATGTCATCTGATCGAGTTTCTAGATATCCTTGCTGCTAGTGGCCATCTTTTTCTTACCTGTTTGCCCTCAGCTCCGAGACCTGGAGGTCCTGGTGGACCTGGAAGGCCTGGTTCGCCACGCTCGCCTCGCACTCCATCAGGCAATTTAATGCCCGCAGGTCCGCTGCCAACCTCAGCCGGCTGGCACAGACCGCACTCGCCCTAGGGAGGGGCAGAGAGCCAGAAGGGTTAGTTTGCATGAAAATGAAAATAAAGGATGCAAAAAACAATGCATGCATCTATGCTTACCTTCTCACCCTTAAGGCCAGGAATACCAAGACCAGGCAGTCCTTGCTCTCCCTGTCAAAAGATGAAAAGAATATTAAAGTGGCATGGCATTACTGTGAAAACAGAAATATCATAACTATGAAAATAACAACACCACTGGACCTTTCTTTGTCTAGACACACTAAAGCTGCAGTAAAATAAAAGGGTTTTTGTGTTCTCTTACCTTTGGGCCTTTCTGTCCATCCTTGCCACTGGGTCCCCTCGGTCCAGGTTTTCCCTGACACATGGACACATTTCATTTAACACCATCATCGCATCAGGATGTGAAGCAAGGCTTTCTGTTTCAAAAAACTGACTCTGAACTTACCGGCTTACCATCAGCTCCTTTGGTGCCTGCGCTACCCTGCAGACAAGTTAAAAAAAAAAAAATCACTGCAGCATCTGAATTTCACAAATTGATAAAAATGGATGGGTCTTTTAAATTGGTAATTCACATTTTATAGTAAGGTGCACCCTACAGGCAGCCATGTCAAATGATTTTGGTTTTTCAGTACCTGAGCTTTTCACTAATAGGTTCCCTGCTGAGTAAAATCCCCATGGCAGACAGTTTCGGGCCCTAAAATTAGCGCACCGCTGTGATTATCTTCCTTGTAAAGTCTATTACGAGCCTCATTCTGCAACCTACTGAGTGAGTTCACCTCATGTAAGCCTAGTCTGCTGTTGAGGTCACAGACTCTCAGAGCTGCTTCTTTTTATGTTACTTACCTTCTCTCCTCTGAGGCCAGGTGATCCAACATTTCCTGGCTCCCCCTGTGGAGCAGGAAAAAGTGAACGATACATCATTTTAATGAAATTGCTTATCACTAATCACACATGCGAGCAAACACACTGACGTGAGCAAAATCATAAAAATAATTACCAAATCAGTTTTCTTCTACCATGGGTGTTAGAGTGTATATAATTGTTTCCTTTCAGTAAGACCAACAATAATAATATTAAACTGTTCATTATGGTTTTCTGCTTTTCATTTAGCGCTAGAATTACATTCATTCTTACAACAGACTTACCTGCTCTCCTTTCAGTCCGATCGCGGGCTCTCCCTTCTGGCCCTTCTGCTGCAGGGTTTGGGCCTGGACACCAGGGACGTGGTTAGGAGGTAACTCTCCGAGAGTGGGGCACACAGAACACGGTTCTCCCTAAAGCACGCAGACGGATCAGAGCCGGGTCAGACATCATCTCCACGTAATTATCCACATAAGGATTCATTCAAATAACAACAAACTAAATTAGCACGGTTAGAAATGTTTTGTTGCTTCAAGACAGGTGCAACTACTGCTACATTAAAAAATATGTTATGCAAGATGTACAATGTGAAATTCACTAATTAGGGTACTCTGTCTAGCCGACAGCTGAATAGTCTACACAAGAAATTGTTTAACCTCAAGCCCCATAAAAGCTGACCTTTTCTCCTTTGACACCACCTGTTCCTGGTTCCCCCTGCCAAAACACACAAAAACACAGATATTCATGAAGGCAAGTTAGTCGCAACTCACTGTGTTTGCTTTGAGATGTCATCTCTCGACATGGTACATAGTGGTACAATCGGGCAGATATAGGAGTATAGCAGCAATGTGTACGGAGCAGGCTTTGAAGGCAATTTAACATAGTGGCCAAACTGTGGATTTACAACTTCCAGGTGTGTCACATCATGCCACTGGCCCGATAGAGACTTCTTCCTTTAGATTTACATTGTGAAAGTGTTTACAACTTCCCAGTACTAATACGTGTATACTTTTTCCACCAAAATTAGCTTGTAAATGCCTTTTTTTACCCACTGGAAACTCGCTGAAAGTAGGCAATAGGCCCGTTTCCACTGAAGAAGTTCCTGGTACTATTTGGGGGGCAGGAACTTTACAGGAACGTCCCCTCGCTCGGCCCTCTCAACCGCCGTGTCTCCACTGAGAGAGCGGAGTAGGAGGAAGGTTCCTGTAAAGTTACCGGGCTCTGGATGTGATGTAATCGTTGCGCGACCATTTTGACCGGGGCGACACCGCAAAGGAACAAACAAAGAAGAAGAACAACAAAGCAGAAGTACGAAGAAGAAAGCAGACATAAGAAAGACGATTATCAACATGGAAGGAGCTGAGGTCGTTGCTGGGTTTCTGGCGTGTCTCTTCGTTTACGTGGCGGTGGAAGCTATGAACGAGAGGAGAAGACGTCTCGAAGAGGACCTCGTCTGCTGAGTTTTAAAAATGCCGGCTATTTTGTCGCTTTCTGTTGACGTCACATCCCACCTTGAGTATATCCAATCAGCACCAGGTAAACCCCAAGCCCCAGCCAGGAGTTTTTCTGGGCCGTTCTGAGTACCTACTCCGAGGCAGGGACTTGTTTAGCCCCTGTAAAAGTTCCGGAACTCTGTCCTTGGGGGGTGGTTCCTGTGGTGGAGACACGCACCAACGGCCCCAGCCCCGTAAAATTACCCTGAAGTTCCTGTGGTGAAAACGGGCCTAATACTGCTTTCCAATTGCCGCTAGACTAGAGCCAGGCACACAGCTCTGCCACATTTATGTATAGACCTCTGCAGTGGATGAGGAGTCCTTTCAGTTTTTTTTTCTTTTTTCTGGTTTGTCATGTTCAATGTCAACAACAGGCCAGAAATCAGGTAAGTAAACAGTAGAAAGCAGCATGGAGGCCAGTGAATATGTTACGGTGGTTACTTATTTCATATACTGTATATCAGGGGTGTCCAAACTTTTTTGAATGGGGGCCAGACAAAACAACATGAAAATACCTGGGGGCCAACTGATTCTCACATCAAATGGTTTGAAAAAAAAAAAAAAAGTGAGACAAATGCAACCACTTTTATCTCTTAATGAACTATTGATGCCTGTCTACAAACTGTATGATAGTGCTATAATTGTGAGGCGAAGGGTAAAAATGTGAAGTGATCTTGCTCAATTAACCATTATTGTGTAAAGGGCCACATATGGTATATTCTGAAAATCAAGCTGAGGGCCAATTAAAATTGGTCTGCGGGCCACAATTGGCCCCCGGGCCAGACTTTGGACATGCCTGATATACATATATATATACAGTACAGGCCAAAAGTTTGGACACACCTTCTCATTCAATGCGTTTTCTTTATTTTCATGACTATTTACATTGTAGATTCTCACTGAAGGCATCAAAACTATGAATGAACACATGTGGAGTTATGTACTTAACAAAAAAAGGTGAAATAACTGAAAACATGTTTTATATTCTAGTTTCTTCAAAATAGCCACCCTTTGCTCTGATTACTGCTTTGCACACTCTTGCCATTCTCTCCATGAGCTTCAAGAGGTAGTCACCTGAAATGGTTTTCCAACAGTCTTGAAGGAGTTCCCAGAGGTGTTTAGCACTTGTTGGCCCCTTTGCCTTCACTCTGCGGTCCAGCTCACCCCAAACCATCTCGATTGGGTTCAGGTCCGGTGACTGTGGAGGCCAGGTCATCTGCCGCAGCACTCCATCACTCTCCTTCTTGGTCAAATAGCCCTTACACAGCCTGGAGGTGTGTTTGGGGTCATTGTCCTGTTGAAAAATAAATGATCGTCCAACTAAACGCAAACCGGATGGGATGGCATGTCGCTGCAGGATGCTGTGGTAGCCATGCTGGTTCAGTGTGCCTTCAATTTTGAATAAATCCCCAACAGTGTCACCAGCAAAACACCCCCACACCATCACACCTCCTCCTCCATGCTTCACAGTGGGAACCAGGCATGTGGAATCCATCCGTTCACCTTTTCTGCGTCTCACAAAGACACGGCGGTTGGAACCAAAGATCTCAAATTTGGACTCATCAGACCAAAGCACAGATTTCCACTGGTCTAATGTCCATTCCTTGTGTTTCTTGGCCCAAACAAATCTCTTCTGCTTGTTGCCTCTCCTTAGCAGTGGTTTCCTAGCAGCTATTTGACCATGAAGGCCTGATTCGTGCAGTCTCCTCTTAACAGTTGTTCTAGAGATGGGTCTGCTGCTAGGACTCTGTGTGGCATTCATCTGGTCTCTGATCTGAGCTGCTGTTAACTTGCGATTTCTGAGGCTGGTGACTCGGATGAACTTATCCTCAGAAGCAGAGGTGACTCTTGGTCTTCCTTTCCTGGGTCGGTCCTCATGTGTGCCAGTTTGGTTGTAGCGCTTGATGGTTTTTGCGACTCCACTTGGGGACACATTTAAAGTTTTTGCAATTTTCCGGACTGACTGACCTTCATTTCTTAAAGTAATGATGGCCACTCGTTTTTCTTTAGTTAGCTGATTGGTTCTTGCCATAATATGAATTTTAACAGTTGTCCAATAGGGCTGTCGGCTGTGTATTAACCTGACTTCTGCACAACACAACTGATGGTCCCAACCCCATTGATAAAGCAAGAAATTCCACTAATTAACCCTGATAAGGCACACCTGTGAAGTGGAAACCATTTCAGGTGACTACCTCTTGAAGCTCATGGAGAGAATGCCAAGAGTGTGCAAAGCAGTAATCAGAGCAAAGGGTGGCTATTTTGAAGAAACTAGAATATAAAACATGTTTTCAGTTATTTCACCTTTTTTTGTTAAGTACATAACTCCACATGTGTTCATTCATAGTTTTGATGCCTTCAGTGAGAATCTACAGTGTAAATAGTCATGAAAATAAAGAAAACGCATTGAATGAGAAGGTGTGTCCAAACTTTTGGCCTGTACTGTATATATATATATTTATTTATATATATATATATATAGACAATATGTTGTGATGACCCTTCATTGAGTCGCGCTGGTAAAGAGGCTAAAACTAGCATGTCCACCCAGCTGTCATATTTCCATCATTGCCACTCTGAGCTGGAGCTGATAAATACCTGTAACTACTGCAGAGTCATTTGTCCCGGGAGAGAATGCCGTTTGTAACCTTTCCCATTAAAACCAAAAGCCAGATATTAGCTAGTGTAAGTTGTTTTTTGGTGCAGTAGGAAAGAGACTTTAAATAGCCCTTAAAGTTGAGAGTTTTTCACTACTGCCATTCATGTGAACAAGCGTGACATTCATGTGAACAAGCAGCTGGGAGGTGTATTTAAAGAAAACAAAAGTATGCTTGCTCTATGGGCTCATATGTGCAAAAGATGTGGGTAATTTTACAAGCTTTGTGCCATGGATGTAGCTTAGAACTGGATTCTGGAGCCCAAGATGGCGCCTAATGAGTACAGTGGAATTGCTCGCCTGGTGCATATGCCAAAAAGGTTTCTAGCTTACTTGTATGTGGCCCACTGAACATGCGCAGTAGTGTTTCTACTGCTGGCCCTGCCTATGAGTTCCTGCTTGGCTCATAGACTTTACATTGTGATTTTTAAACTGCTATTCTCAGCTTGAGGTATGCTTTACAAATATAAAACCTTTATGGATCAAAAGTTCATAATAAGAAGAGTAAGAGAGTTTGAGGTGTCCTGTCGATGGTTTTACAGATGGCTCTTTTACAGTGGTGGTCTATGGGGGAAATGCTTTTGGGCTTTTTTGCTCTGCAATACTGTGAGTGTCCACTGGGAAAAATTAGAAGCAAAGCCAAGCAGTGTTCCTTATGGCCTGCTTTATGTGCCACTGAGCAACTTTCAGAGGAATAAACGGGGCCCCGGCTCTGTTTCCAGTTCCAATCCAATATATAGACATAATAAGTTGGCAATTTGTAGGGAGTATGTGTGTGTTTGAGTGTGAGTGTGTGTGTGCACTTTGGTCTCCTCTGTGGAGTTTAGTTCAGCTGCTTCGCTCGCATCTGCTTTAGGAGAGCGCCTTCTGCACTGCTGATGTTAGCATATCTGAATGTGTAGGACTGCAGATGAGTGTGTATAGGTCACGCTCCCGCAGAGTATGAATGAACCATAAGCTGTAAATGAATGACTCTATACTGTACCTTCGGTCCTGCTTTGCCATCTGCACCCACAGGCCCCTGGTACATATAGGGAAAGAAAAGAGAAGAGAGAAGAGGAGCAGGGATGAGCCAGAAGTGTTTGTTAGTTCAACTCTGATAGAGCTAGGTCATATCTCACTCTTTTTCTCTGTTGCTCCAACTCCTTCTCCCTCTGCCCTAACCAGGTATGACAGATGGATGCTGGCATTATTGGAAATCGTTGCACAGAGAATCTCATAAGGCTCCAGATTTATATCCCCCCCCCACAACACACACAAATCATTCCCTGTTTCACCTGCTGGGGTAAGTGGGAAGATGCAGAAAGAACAAAAAGAGAAACACAATGCAATGCATGTTGAGTCCAGAGAGAAAAAGATGCGTTTGGATCACATTAAAAAAAATGACCTTTGCCTTGGAGAAATAAATTTTTGACAGCATATCACGCTCTCTCTCCTTGAGCTGCTGGGAGAGTTACAAGGGCACATACAACCCCGAGGTATAAATAAACGCCATACCTTCCCTCAGAATGATAAGAAAAATAAAATATATACACTATCAAACAAGTGCTCAAGGTTTAGTCGTCAGCTACAGCTCCAGACTGTGTCTACTACTTCCTAATAAAACATGTAGCAAGATCGTAAAAATGTTAAACTGAACACTCGGGGCAGAATCAGAATACATTACAGCTTGACATTACGTTCAAACTGTTGTACTTACAGCTGGTCCTCTCTCTCCTGTCCCTGGTGATCCAGGCTCTCCTTTAGGGCCTGGCTTCCCCTGCAGAGCCACTGTGTTTCCCATGTCCGTGGGCAGCACGGGGCACACCTCGCATGGGTCACCCTGAGGATTGAACACGAGTCAAACACACAGTGTGTGGATGAGAGAGCACACAGGCGTGCAGATTAAGAGATTTAAGACAATGTTGACAGCTACCTTCTCTCCTTTAGACCCCGCCGGTCCTCTTGGTCCCTATGACAACAGCAGAATCCCAGTCAAACACTGATGTATCAGCTCAGTTTGAATACTGTATATTGGAAGCTCATGCATACACACTGCTGAATATCAATCAATGTTTAAAAGAGTCTCTCACTGGATCTCCTGGCAATCCATCTAGTCCTGGTATTCCTGCGTCTCCCTGTTAACACAAATCACTGCATTTGAGAATACTGTTACCCCGAGAACCATCAAAAAACACATCTTTGTATATAACTTGTTTAGAATGTCTAGAAGTTGGGGTTTTGCTAGCCTACGGATGGTGACAATGTCTGAACCAACAGAACGATGATGCAATCCTTCAACCACAGTGTACACATAAAATGGAGTCATGATGTCAATATGCTTGTCTCGTCACATATCGTCACATTCCTATAAGGCGAGCTGTCCCAACTCACCAACATGTTCCAAATATCTCTTTATGATTGGATTATATATGCAATGCTTCAATAATACAGCATGATGTGTCCTGTGCCAAATGGTGAACCTACCATGTCTCCCTTGGCACCACCGGGTTCACCAGGACGTCCCTAACAGAGGGGGGAAAAAAAAGCACATGACTCTTTTCAAATGCCTCTCTCACGACACTTTGAGGCTCCTGTCAAGGGCAACAACTGCTGCACCAGAAGAAGGAGTTCTGCCAAGTCCTGCCCTGCACTTCTGAGAGCAACGTCTCGTAAAAGTACTATTTGGTCAAATGGAAACCATCTTTAAGATGAGTGTCAGGACATTAAGATAATCAGTTACACCATCCAATAAGTGTGGACTTAGGGGGTCTTTTAATCCAAAGAGACCCGGAGGACTGCTGGCAATCTCGGCCAACTTATTCTCTTTCAGAGGCTGCAGTGGGCTGAGTTTTGAAGCTAGACTGAAGGCACATGAATCATATGAAACTCAAAGACTTAATTGGTACCACCCATGTCTAGCTTGTCAGGCAGGGGGTTAAATAAGGCTCCAAAGTTCCAAAGCTAGATTTTGGCAAGTGAGCAACTGGCCTTGCTATATTCACAGGGGTCCCTTGACCCCTCACCTCATAATATCTCAATAAAAATGAGCTCTATGGGAACCCACAAGTTTGCCCTTTATAGACATGTTCATGCCAATCCCATGTAGTTTGGGAGAAAAACCATGCAGTCCAAATGTCTTACTTTGGCCTACTGTATTTGAATATTTCTGCACGCTGGGGTCCCTCAGCAGTGTTGGAATGGCATAAATTAGGTATGACTGAAAAGCTGAGTCTACTGTGGTTTCAATTAGCCCAATTCTATTTGTGTGTGATGATGTTAATCCCCAAATTACCTATTTCAATGTAGTGCAACATGTTTTTTTAAGTGGACATCACTGCATAAAATGATCTACTGTGACCTCTAGGATAATCACAGCCTCGTGAAACTTTATAGCTACAACCTAGAGACCTCTGAATTTGGAGGATGTGTGGCTTTTAGAGGGTTTTTGAGCACTTTACAGAACAGAAGTGCTCGCCATGTAATCAGCGGAAGAATGCAATTCTTACAAATGGGGAACACACATTTGTGGAAGCCATTTTTTTGGGATTAAAAAAATAACTAATTGCTTGTGTTTAATGGTCTTCTATTAATGGATTTCATCGTTTTTCTTTTTAAAAGCAGCATTTTTTGGGTTATTCTTTCTGCGACTGACAAAAGTTTTTGATGCAAAATCACAGTATGGATTTTTCTGTGGTGTTCTTCAAGGTCTTAATGTCTGAATGTGGTATTTTGGATGGATTTTTGACCATTATCAATCCTTAAGTGGTCAGCAATGCTTAAATTTAACACCAAATAGGCACCTAATGAAAACACACTGTTTATTTAATATATATGACTGAAAAAAAACTTAACAGAGTGCTGGGCTGTATCTCATATCGATCTTCAGGTTCCACTTCTTTGTGGCATAAACTGTTGACTAGTAAACTCTCTAAAGATCCCTGCCTCCCCTAAACAAGACAAAAATGGGAGTCAGAAGGTTTATTAAAAAATAAAAACACCTACTGGTAGACCTGGCTTTCCAATCCCTGGTAGCCCTGGAAGTCCAGGCCTACCTGGCTCCCCAGCCAACCCCTCAGGACCCACCAAACCTGGTGTACCCTGGGAAAACAAGTTCAACACAGCTCTATTAAATCCAAACTGAACTGAGTTTAAGTGACAGACAGGTTGATGGTAGAAACTCCCAGACTTGATGCAGACAGACCTTCTGTCCCTTGGGGCCGACTACGCAGATGGACCCCGCTCGACCCTGGAAAATGGTGACAGACAAAGAGCAAAGTGACAGCATCAGTACGGACAGTGACATCATCAGTGTCAGCCCAGAATAATCAAACGGTCTCCACAGAAATCTATCTCCAAAACATCTTCATGAATTGTTAAACACTTGTTGATTTCCCTCATTTGTTTGACGTCTTACAATTGCAAACAGAAAGAGGAGAATTGAGTCTGTAAGATTTATTATCTTCAGCAGTGCATATGCAATATTTTCTGGCTGCCTGATTCAAGTCACATCAACATGCACATTCATATTCACAATGTCAGATGGGTAGAAGGCTTAAGAAAATCTATCCTCCACCAAATCCATCTGTCCACGACAAGCACTTAGCCCGGTGAACGGCTAAATGTGAGTGCCGTGTGATGCCGGAAACCGGGGGAATATCTCAGAGCACACACACGTTGTAATTTGTTCCTCAAAACTTTTCATGCGTCTACAGGATCACTGCGCTGAACAGGGAAGATTAAAAGGTTTAAGTCTTCCTGAATAGGCGCCTGCCTGTGTGAGAGACGAACAGCACAGTCAATGAGGCAGCATTGATTGTGCGAGCTTTGTTGCTCTAGCCTAATCTAACAGGCATTAACAGGCCGACTTAACGCCATGGGAGAGAGGAGGGGGGAGCGCAGATATCAATGGGAGTCTTAGCTTAAAGAGTAATACCGTATAAGTTTACTGAATATCCGCTCTTAGCCTGATAAAAGTGGCGGTGCAAGTGGATGTGTGTGCATTGGTGTGTTTGTGGTTGCACGCTCATTAGAACATTTGTGGTACTGAAAGCACACTGTATATTTCAAGCTGTCTGACTTAACCTCAAAGCAAATTTCATGGCTGAAAGACGCTTACACTGACTCCTATTCTTTCTTTACACAAATGATTACACGGCTTTGTCAAATACCAGATTCTTACTGGTCAATTACAGCATTCTGCAGTCTGTTATTTCTGAGTGGCAGACCGCTGCTTTGAATAACAGACTGTGCCATGTGTGTAATACTGATCATAGACTCTGGCTGAAGAAGAAATTCATTTTTGAATCAATTATTTGATTTTAAATCATAGTTCTGTGTCACATTATTGAGTTCTTCATTAAGTCGCCTTGTAATAAGTGATTCAAGACCCCTCTGCTTCTTGTCAGGTGCGTGCATGACCGTGTTGGCCTTCATTATGCAATGGCGACCTGCTCACTGTGCATTATCCCTTATGTAAAATTGAGAGAAAGCCAAAAATACAATATAAAAAACACCTACATCCTTCCCTGGGGTGCCTGTGAGACCCTGAGGGCCAATTTCTCCCTTCTGACCCTTGTCTCCCTAGACAGAGCCAAAGAGAAGAAAAGAAGGTGAAAAACATACAAGGAGAGACGCAGAGAGAGGGCTGAGTCAAAAATAATAAGAGTTTATGAATTAATTAGATGAACATTAAAAAGGTCAGATCTTCATTATTCATCACCGAATGTTTCTTAAACCTTTCACCTTGTACCCTGCTGCTTCGCCCCAGTTGGCAGGCTGCGCCTGTGGAGAGGAGGAATGGAGACAAGACCCAGATCAATGACCTGGCTCTAAAGAGACATCACACACACACCACTGGAGCATAGCAAACAACAGAGTGACCAGTCGGCAACCCGTATGGACTACCAGCAGGACCCATATGCTCCATTCACACAACCCGAGACAAACAGGCACACGAGGACATACAGACAAATCAGATGCATCAAACGTATACTTAGATGCATCTGCATACACACCTGCACACAAAAGTCACACACACTCTTGGTAAATAAACATACAAAGCACAAATTCATTCCAACTCCATAATGAAAACCAGGACCGAATGCAAAATGAAAATGTGGTTTTTGAATAGGGATCAAACTAAATAGCTGAAGGGTTGGTGAGGTTGGGAGGCGGTGGGATGCTGCGCTGTAACCTGTAGCAGAAGATTGGCACTCACCGACTCGCCTTTTTCTCCCTTCTGGCCCTTGGGTCCCTCTGTGCACTGAGGTTAGAGACACTTGGTTGGCATGTATTATCACAGACCACTTTATTGGCTAATTTTCAGGATCGTACTGTGCTGCATGCCAAATAATGAGACAATGCTTTTTGTTGCAAAACGGGGGCACGGTGTGAGAGTGAGACGCAGAGGAAAAGTTACTTACTGGACCTGAATGGGAGCCAGAACAGCTATCACCCTGAGATGGAGAGAGAGAGGCAGAGAAGAAGAATGATTGCTTGTGGGTGAGGAACAGAATCAGCGAGCAACTGAAGAATGCATATCAGCTAGATGCTGGATTGGTCCATAGCCAGCATCATATTAGACTACAGCGGCATCACAGTCTTTGTGTATATGAGTGTGTATGAAGACAGATATCAGTGCTCAGCGCCACGCGTGTCCGGGCACGAGTGATGACATCACACATTCCACTGATATTAGTCTGACTACACACAGATTTGTGTATGTGCTGTACATGTCTTTCATACTCACCCGGTCACCTTTTTCCCCTTTCAACCCAGCAACTCCTCCAAGATTTAATACCTGCAACACACACACATAAATAAACACCCCGCAGTAGCGTGCGTTTGACATGCTCTAATGACAAGAAGTGAAAGTAAAGATCTGCGATCCTTACATTTTCTTCCCTATTCAGGTATAAACAACCACCACACTACAGACAGACAGACAGACAAAGAGAAAGAAAGAATTATTATCAAACTGTATTTAATATTCACTCAACGAGCTGTGTGTCTGAGTAAAAGGAAGTTTGTGAAGTAAAATGGGCTGCAGTTCCTATAGTCGCCAGGTGGTGGCACTGTTACACAAAACTAAACTGAGCTGAGCCTCTGTGCTGCTACAGTATGCAGCTAAAAAGGAGGGGAGGTGGGCAAGTGGGCACACACGCACACACACACACACATGCACACACATACAATCGTACACACACACACACACAGCTCCCATGGGAGACGGAGATCAATAGGAATGTCTGATTCCCACAGCAGAGGAGTGAGGAGACCAGCTGCTCCTCACAGGAGGGCACACACACACTCGCACACACACACACACGCCAAATAAGGATAACCATTATAAATAACTGAAGCATTTTTAGCGGAAGCAAGTAATTAAAGCCGAATCTCCCACCCGGTGTTTCTGGGAGTCATGCTTGCACACACCAGGAAGTTTGCATATATTGAAGCAGTGACTGTGAGCTTGCTGAGACGACGAAAGGAGGCGAGTAACAAGCACAGAGACAATGTGTAATTCTCCCTCTTCTCTTCCCACCCCTCCACGCTCCCTCCTGCTAGCTACAAATCTATCAATGGCTGGCTCGGCCAGCTGCAATGACGAGTCACTCTTTCCGAGCTCTTGTCTGGCCGTGGGCTTAGTTGACTCCTCATATAGTTCCACTTAAAACCTCAACAGCCTCGCTTTCATTGTTTATTCTCTACATTCAGCTTTGAAATGGAAAATTCAGATTGCTGTTAAAAGAGCAGCAGCGTGCGTGATAAAATGGCACTTACATATCCCTGTAATTAAGCCCATTTTGCTGTCGTTACTACCCTCACTTAATTATGGGAGCAGAATTGAGAATCTCTGAAAATCATCAACACTATGCCGACTGAATGTTAAGTTGCTACGTCCATAGGTTTTTGCTTTTAGTATTTACACAGTGTGAGATGAAGTGGTTGTCTTTAAACCCCAGCATCTCTCGTTTGTTGTCTCATAAGCAAATGAGCAACCACACTGTGTGCCTACCTCTCTCCCTCTCAGCCTATTTTCTCCCTGTTGTCCTCTCTCTTTTCACTCAGGCTTCCCTGAGCAGGACCATCAGTCATCCAGGGACCACTCTCTAACTCCCACCCCTGGCTGTTCATGCCTCATTCCAGATGTTTCGGATCTGGATCTTCGTCCTCCACGAGATTCAACCTCTCCTCATGTCCCCTCCTGACTCTTGTGAGGTTGCTTCCTTTCCATTTTGCATAAATAAAAGTTGACTGCTGCTTGTACTGTATTCAGTTGTACCATCCCTGTACCATCCCATTGTGCATTGTTAACTTATGGCAATAATAAATGGGTTGTCTTTATGTATATTAATGTTAGCAGTACAATTCATAGACTCCAGAGAATGAAATAATAATAACAATCCCAATTTAGCTGCTAAATGCTCCGTCATGTTCACCGGATGACGCTGTAGTTGCTTAAGCGCTCTGTGGAGCTAAAAGAAACTTCATCAGTGATAACTTAATGTGCATTCATCACCATAAAGTCGTTTCCATGTTAAAAAATAGCCATTTCCTCCATTAGTAATATATGAATATTAAAATAGTGGCACTTTAAATGTATCCGTTTTTATTACTGGCATCCGGATACAAATTTTTGTTTTGGCACAAATAGTCTATGTGTCATATTTAAAGGGACAGTTCACCCTAAGATTACAAATACATATTTTTCCTCTCACCTGTAGTGCTATGTATCACTTTAGAGCAGTGGTCCCCAACTGGTCCAGCCTCGGGGTCCACATTTGTCCTTAGTCATTAGTTCAGGATCCCACAGTTTAATACATGCAGCGTCATACCTGTGTTTGGCCACGTCATTGGACTAGTTGGTTGTCTCTGTCATGTAGCTGTCTGTTGGTCACTCACTCTATAGTAGGAAACGGCACTTCAAAATAAAAACTCTGTGCCGAAAATCTACCGTACTTACAAATAAAGTGTGTTTTTACCAACTTGACACATTCGTGAGTCACTTGCGGTCCATTTAGAACGCGCCGTCGAACCACTTTTGGACCACGGCCCACCAACTGGGAACCACTGTTCTAGAGGTGTCTGCCTTCTCTTCAATATGGTGATAGCATTCGGCACTAAAAAAATACACAAAAAATTGACAAACAGCAATGTCTCTTTCCAGAAATCATGACCCCGTTGCCCTAGATAATCCACAGACCTTGTTGTGAGCAGTTTCATGTAAGAACTATTTTCTTTCTACCAAACTACACCTGCCAATCGTATTACTGCGCAGGAGGAAGCATGCATCTACTCATGGACAAGAGGCTTGTGAGAGTGCAACACGTTAACATTACTGCCGACCACCTCGACTGAGCTGCTGCAAAGTTAGCTAGCAGAAGAGGCATGCTGGCTTCTGTATGGTGATACAGTTGGCGGTGTAGTGCTGTGTCTATGGATTATCTTGACTACCCAGTGTCATGGTTTCTGGAAAGAGGCATTGCTGTTGAGCCATCTAGTTACATTATACTTAGAAGAAGACAGACATCTCTAATGTCAATGTCTACAACCCTCTGCAGCTCACACCAAAAAAATCTATGAATAGCACTACCACTAAGAGGAAGCCTGTGAACTGTCCCTTTAAGTATCTATCATCCAAACAAATAGCCTTGCTTTTTCACATCCAACATTCAAATACTGAGGCTCTCATTCTCCATTATGCATGCCAGCATCTATACTCATTTATTAGATTAAATATCTCAAAAGACAGGCTGAATTTTTGGCACCAACATCCTGTCAGTAAGCCTTGATTTTTTTTGTTATTATTTTTTGGCAATGTATCTTTTGCTGCCAGGACTCGACAGAACAAGGGCAACACCCAGCAGGCTAATGAAAATCTAATACTAGTATAAACATAGATTAGTGCTTGCCTCGGTTGTAATTTTCAAACTATGTAGAACTCATTATATTTGAGGTTTATGTGCTTGCTTGTGTGCACTCTCCTAAATGCATGATGACTTACTCTCATGCATGATCTAATGGCGAAGACAGGAAGTAGATGCTGGGATTTTATTTCTGAAATTGCCCTTTGTGTTAATAGATTCCTGCTGAGCTCTTTGACTCACAAAACCTAGGGCCACTGTTGTAGCCGGAACGAGCTATAGAGGAATAGCTGAAGCAGCATGATATGAACACTGTGATGAAAATTGGTTTCTGACTGAGCATTATGATTGTGCAGCAGAAGCTAAATCCACCCCATATTCAGACCATTTATTGTTATGATCATGTTAATATAGGCCTGATCTGCATATTTTTTAGATCTGTGTTGCAGTACATAATATCAGGTTGTATTTTCAAAGGATTCCTGTGGGAACTTTGCCTATTTTCACCCTGAAAGAACTGTCACCTGTGTTATTCGACCAAATTAAATTCACAGAACAGAAGAAAATGTCACTTTTGTTTCTCTGCAAGTGTTTGCCCCCCAGTGGCAGGGCAAGCTTGCGCTCCAACCCAGGTAATAACCTACATTGAGGAAGTCAGGGGAGGCGGCCAGCTGCATTAGCAAGCACACACAGGAGCAACATAATGAAGCGTCTGGAGTTTTGTATTCTATTTGTGAACAGAACATGCCCATTGTAGGTGAATGACAAAATTAATAGGCAGCAGCAACTCCCGACTGAGACTCTGCGCATAATGAGGTGTAAATCAGTCCTCGGTCAGTCAGCAAGCTGGGTACGTGTGAGGGAGGGGGGAGGAAATAGAGATAGACTACTTTCTTCAACCCCATGCACAACACACATACATACAACATAGGTGTACGTATGTGACCTGCATACTGTCTTCCTATTTTAATCTCAGAAGTACATGCATATTGGACGTCTCTTTATTTATTCTCTTTACATCACACTGGACTTTTAGAGTCTCCAGTTGAACTGAACATGGACGTGTTTGGACTGTGGCTTGAGGCTTGCTTTGACGCAACCATCCTGGTCTGAGCCACTGTGCCGTCCCACAAGTCTTATTAGAAATTCAATACTGTAAAAACGCGTGTGTGTGTGTGTGTGCGCGTGTGTGTGTGTGTGTGGCTTACTTTGTCTGCCAGATCCTTTGATGCAAAAATCTCCTGTTGGTAGAAAGACAGAAAAGGTGAAAAAAAGAAGACGTAAGAAAACATCAGGCCTTTTTCTTTTTTCCACATCACATCTGAACATGACCTCAATATGACCATGTTTGGCTTCATGTTGGTCCAAACTTGGTTTCTGTCTTTGTTTAGACACTGATCATTGATGTTGACAGTTCCAAAACTGGCTCAAATAACATTCAGACACACTGAATCAGTTGCTTTGAAGAACATTCATAGTCTGGTTGTCTCCATTTTGGCAGCACTGTAGCATACTTCTTAATTTTCAATCGGTTCTGCTGTTATCAGGTCATTTAATGGCTGTTATCAGTGGTTATAAGCATCGTAGGTATGGACTAGAAGGGGCCTGCCACATCTACTATAAGGTCATAAGGCCATTATCAGGCCATGAAACGACTGGTGAGCGCAATAATTCAGACAGGAGCAAGAGAGGAAGGTGCTGGAGAATAAAAAGTGGGAGAGGGGTGATGGATGGATCAAACAAAAACAGGACTTTCACCCAGGAGAGTTGGCATTAGCCCCGTTTCCACCAAACACTTTCGGTATAGTACCTTTGGAACCACAAGTAACCCTTCAGACATGGTACCTAGACCCTATCCTTTCCATCGCAAACAGTACCCTTATATGTGGGCGGGGTTGTTGTCACTCACTGTTCCGTCCAGCGCTCACTGTATTTCCTCGTCATCGGTGACACAGATGGAAGTCTGCACCTTGTTTATCGTCCACAGAACATGGCTGCATGCCAACATTTTCAGAACAAAATAAAACAGCAGTGAGAGTCTCTCTCTATGGGATATTTAAAAATAGCGGGTTAATGCATTTAGTCCTTCTCAGGCAAGCTCAGGGGTTTAGTGTTGCCAGACTGCAGTGTTCACAGCTCCACCTTTTAGGACTAGATCTGTGTGCTAGGTACCCCAACAGAGGGGGGACCAAAAATGGGGACAGTATGGTTCCATTGGTACCATCCACAACTTTTGACAGTGGAAACTGAAAAAAAGCATACCCAACTGAACTGTACCGTACCGCTTGGTGGAAACGGGGCTATTGTCTCCCATGTGAAACCAAAAGTCAACCAGGATGGTTGCTTTAACCCCTTTTACACTGCCAGATTTTCCGCGAATGTTGGGCCATTTTGCCAACAAGCTGCGAGCGTTTAGACACACAGAGCTGGATTGGCGAGTTGATCCGAAGTGCCCAATTTTCCGCCTCGTAGGGTAGACATACTGGCAGAACCCTTTTAGTTTAAAAAGACAGAGGCGGCCTTCCACAACGGGAGGGGCTGTTGATGACTTATGGGAGGAGCTGTTGATGACGCCGCACGTACGACCCACTGGCGGTGGATAAACAGGAAACAGCTGATAGCAGGAATTAGCGAGCAGCTAGTAGCAAGAGGGAAACACAAACCTGACAGACACTGTAAAGATGAGCAACTGGGGAGACAAGGAATTGTGCGCCCACCTTGTCCTCACAAACGAAGACGCCATTAACAGTCAGATGACGGCAACGGTGAAGGACGGGCCGACTAACGAGAGAATCGCTGAAGGACTGACCAGCCACAGCTTCCCTCCCACATCACTGTTTACGTCACACGCTGAGCTACACGTTTTATTACTTGCCCACGCCCCCCACTGCCCCGAAAAAGGAGCATTCTGTATAAACAAAAGTAGGTGGGCTGCATTTTGCCGCACTCCCTGATTTTGTTTTCATACTGCCAATGCTGAAAGAAGACTGATTGGGCTTTCCTGCAAATTTGCACAGTTCCTGTTTAAAGATGGCTTTTGACTAAGGTACCATGATATGTTTATTCTAACAAAAGTGAAGCCTAATGAAACTGTGACCATTTCATTGAATGGCCTAATAATGGCAACTGTTTCACAACCTTGGATATGCAAATGGGTATTTAATGGGCGATAATGTCTGTTGAACTTAATAGTAGGTGTGGCAGGCCCATCGTACCCTCATCAATGAGGCTAAAATCTACAGATAACGGCAGTTAAATTGGCTGATGACATCCAAATCGGCTGCAATTCTTCCTCAAATTGTATCAAGAAATGAATCTACATTTTCGAACACTCTTCTCAACCTTGGAGCACATAGTTTGAATTCCTAGTCACTGGCAGTTCTGCTACAGTTCATAGTAACTGAATCTCTTAGGATGTTCCCAAGAATGGCAGCAATTGCATTTGAAAGTCTGCATAATATCAACATCATATGACATCTGTTGTTTTCCTGTAGCATGTGCAGCGCATCCATTTAAACCTTGTTGCCATTACAATTCATTGCATCAGATACACAACAAAGAAAGAAGAAACGGGGGCCGTCTTGGTTCCACACATGGGTCATTAACAGCTATTCTTTATTCTGAGTGAAAAAAGCAGATGAAAGTGGATGAGTAGAGAGGAGGAGTACTGTACCCCGTTAGCCCATAGGCAAATAAAGAGGTGGATCCTGCTGTGCAAAGAGTTACAAATCAGACAAACGAAAAAAAAAATCAACGACAGGAAACAGGGAGGAAGGACTGGAGCTGAACGGAAACAATTTGTTCAGTTAGAACAAGTGAAATAAGGAAGAGTTTCAGTAAAGGGGAGACCAGAGAAGACATTTTACAGCTGGTTTTAAACTTCAACATAAAAAGTCAAGTAGAAACACACCGAGACCTGGGAAACAAGACACAAAGAAGTCTTTGGGTCCTCTGAGGACTGGCTGACCTTTCAGCTGAGAGCTGGGTTGAAAGCAAGAATAAAAAGAGGTTTACAGTGCTGGATGATGAGAAACAGTGTGGGTGAGATTTGTCATACCTCAGGAAGGCGGTAAGTGCTGTGACCCAAACACAGACACAAGCAATGGTACACACCCATACACACCTCTGCACCAAACCTGATTCGACTAGTAGGTGCAACAACAGATTTTTTAACATCACCAGAAGATGTGGCTTGTTTCTGTATGTCTGATAAGTATATTAATCCCATAATACTTACTTAATACTAGAGAGGGCAGTCTTTACAAACTTATATTGTACAGCAAACCCAACTTAATTCTTAATTCTGCTGGAAGTCCAAAAGATGCCAGATATATAGGCTGGATTTTTGGAAAATGTGTATCCAATTTAGTTTGATGGGGTGAAGCAAACTTAAAAAAACATGTCTTGGGTTGAATATTTCCCTCAGGGTAAGCATCATTTAGCTTGGATGAAGAGCTGGAGCAAGTAGTGATAGAATATGTGTTGTACTGTAGTGTGGAATAAGATTGGTTTTCCTAGTCTTTAAGGCGTAGTTCAACATTTCTAAGCTAATTTAATTTAGCTAACTTGCTCCTCAGGCTGTGAATTTGCATTTCCTAGGAGAGCAAAAGCATAACCAGCCCTACTCTCAGTCTGATTGACTCATTGCCTTTGTTGGCTGGGTTGGTTAGGTTTAGACAAGAGGAGTGGGATTGGCTGTGGTTAGGGTACACCAATCAGAGGCAGAGTTAGGCAGGGTACGGCAGGCATGCCGTTGCTATGCTAGGAAATGCAAATTCACTCCCCAGGTTAGCTGTTTCCAGTCTTTGTCCTGAACAGACTGACTTCATACTTTCCAAAACAGATGTGAGAGTGGTATCGCTCTTCCAATCTAACTTTTGGCAAGAAAGCAAATGAAGATGTTTACAAAAATATCAAACTACTGCTTTAAATAACTACTTTTGCACTCCTATAAAATTGCTACTAATGCATCAGAACCACACGTCTACACATTCTTCCTCCTTGTCAAAACTAAAACCTGCATTACCCAAAATGCGAACCAATTTGGTTGGAGATTCAGTTGTGCTTTACTAGCTATTGCAGCCTCGAGCAGTGTTGCCAACTTGGTGACTTTCTCATTAGATTTTGTGACTTTTCGGACCCTCTTTGCAACTTTATTTCTAATAAATGACACACGACCAATCATATTCAGAACATCAGAGGGAAAGTGAGAAATATATTCTATTTAAATTATTTCCCATGCATGATGCTCAGAGTAATCGCACTCCGTGGCTCTTCTGCCATTGGCGCTAAGTCCCTGCCCCTCTCTCCTCTGTGCAGTAGGTGTGGGACCACAGACTGTATATAAAGGTGGATGACGGTCTCCATTTACCCCCACTGTATGGAAGTGAAGCTAAAATATCCCTGATACAGACACTGCCACCTTGATGTGTCCCTTGGCCCATGTGCCATCTACAAGCATGGAGAGGGCAGGCTTTATGACCTATACTGCAGCCAGCCACCAGGGGGCGACTGAAATATTTCAGCTTCACACATGGGGCGCTGTCATGTCGTCCATCTTTTTATACAGTTTATGTGAGGGACAGGCAGTTGGAGAAGAGATGCTGCTCATCGTGGGAGTTCAGTCATAGTGAGTTTCTATGGTTATGTTGACGCTCCTGCTCTCTGGATTGGAAGCACTTGAAGCTGGCTCACTACAGTATAACCGCCATAGCTCTTACATGATTCAAATATTTTGTTGAGGATTTAATGCTTCAATTAATGCGCAATTATGTCACCAATATGCAAATGAGCATATGTCTTTATCTTTTAGGGACTTTTGGAACTACTGCTACTTTCATTGGAAAAGAGTTGGCAACACTGGCCCCTGGCCTCGAGCGGAGATGAAGAGCTACAGAGATCTAACTAAGCTAACTTTTTTCCAACTCCACATCCAAGATTTTTCTTTTATTTTCCTTTTTGAAACATGTAGTCATCAGACACAACCAAGGCTGACTTAAATTATATCACTTAAGGCAGTTTGTCTGACTTTGCAAAGCTCCTTCTGGAGCCACAAAAGGGTTAATACAACTTTTCTCACATATGGAGTGGCACTCCCCAACAACAGACTTTCATGTGTAAAACTTATTCCAAAATCTTGACCTCAGTTTACCCTGTGCTCACGAGCAATACTGTGCGGTACTCTTTCCACATACAGAACACATTACATTCCACATATGCTGTGTTTAATACGCTGTCATTCAGTGAGGCTTAGTTTAATGGAAGCAGTGCTATGGCTCAGTAACATCTGGCCTGAGCGCTGGAATCTTGGATTACACTGCTCATTTACTGTGTACAAAGCTATCATACAGATAAAAATAGAAACTACTCAACTTAGTCTGCGCATGTATGAGCATCATGTGAAATAGGGCAAAAGAGAATGGAGGTGGCATAGATAGAAAAATAGGAAATGAGGACAGAAATGTGTCTCATTCATTGCAGGTACACATCTGTACGGAGGAAGATGGTGGTGACAGTGCTAGGCGTGGAATATTGTACTATATATGGCTAAACATCATATTGCATATATTAAAACAGTCTGCAACAACTGATAGCAGAGGAGGAGAGAAAGAATTACAGGTGAGAGAGAGGAAGAAATGGAGAGAGAGAGATGGCATGCCTAAGTTATTCTAACTGTGTCTGGCTGAAACCATCTATGGGATTGATTACTGTGTCCTGAAGTCTGCCAGAGCTCTAAGTTAACACCAGCTCTCCACAAGACAAACACCAGGGTCTAATGAATAGATAATTGGATATAGATCCCATTAATATGAATGATGAAACAAGCGGCTGTGGAAACAAAAATAAATTGCCTTAACGTTATACTGGACGAACTTCATGTATCACGCAGCATTGAAGCAGCCATAAAAAACCCCACGGAAATTTGTGGAAAAACTGCTCCCATGTGTTGCGTAAGGCTCCATTTGTCACGCATTCGGCGCTGCCCGCAGACACTTTGAACGATTGCTACAGGCAGATTTAACCGAACTGAAGTCACATAAAACTCAGAAGTGCTAAAGACTGCAGCAGAGTAGAAAACATGTTTTCCACAGCAGAGTTTCAAGGGAGAACAACTGAGCCATTTGGTAAAAGTCCTACAGGCCAGTGTTTGCTTGCCAGCGGGAGCATCTCAGACAACTCAAACTGTCTCAAGAACAAAGCCGTTTGAGGCCAAGTCCTTGTCTGGGTCTGTATGTGTTATGTCTGTACCTGATGGGAGCCATGTGTTGTGAGAATTTATGATGGAAGTGGCAGTGTTTGTGGGAGACTCAATGAAATTTTCCCTCTATTTGTTACCAAATTTAAGTGCTTGTGATTAATTTTACAATAACTATAGCATAAGAAGTGCATTTTCAGTGTATAGTACTGCCCATTGTCTATACTGTGGCTCAGGAGGTAGAGTGGCCATTTACGAATCCGAAGTTCAGAGGGTCAGTCCCTGGCTCCTGCAGTCGACATGTCTGGGGGTCCTTGGGCAACATACTGAACACAAAATTGCTCCTGATGGCTGCGCCACAGGTGTGTGAGTATTTATCACTTGGCAGGTGGCACCTTGTATGGTATCCTTGGCTACCAGTGTGTGAATGCTGCTTGAACTGGTTGCTATGATTAGAAAAGAGCTATATAGATGCAGTCCATTATATGGTGTAACTTGTGTGTTTACTTTAATCAGTGACTTTTGTTAAAGTGTCATTCTTTGTTTATTTACCTGGTTAAAGGTGTTTTCCAACAGATCATTCTCAGCAGCACGGCGGCTCTTGGGAGCGTCTGGTGGGCACTGCGAACACACAACAGACACAATTTAAGCTAAGGTATAAGAGCACTGTCGATGTCCAACCTGAATCCTGTGATTCTAATCTGGGCATCATGTAAAAATCTAACCTTACTGCAGTTGTTGTAAATTATAACATCTGTAATGTTGTAAGAACCCCTTTTTTCCTGGGATACGTCTCTTCTTATAGAAATAATGGAGACAGAAAAATCATGGCTGTATCTATGACAAGACAAACAGTCTACAATAGGGCTGGGCGGTATATCGGTTCATCCGGTATACCAGTACTGATTTTCCACATGATGTGAATTTTTCATATATTGTCAGTCCATCAAATAACAGATAAGAGCACGACAGTAATGACATGTCATATTGAGTGGGAGTAGGGACACCTATCAACTGCATACCCTTTTTTCTTATGGTTGGAACTTTAGAACAAAGCAAATGATAACCCACACTAACCCTTTAACAGAGAAAACCCCATGGCACGCAATGTGTGACACATAAACAATTCAATAGACCTAATTGTACATTTACAGGTTTACACTGTTGTGCAAAGACTAGAGGTACGCCTGAGGAACTTGTGCACAAAAGAGGAGCTGCTGTTTGGAAGTTTTTTGGCTTTAAAAAATCCATCTTAAGTTAGTTTGTCGGGCCACTGTTGTTGCTGGTGGCGGTAACGCTATCAACTTACTTCACCGTCACCTCAGCAGAAAATGGGTTGAAATACGGAATTATTATGGTTGGATTTAAGGCCCTCAGTAGCGCCAGTGGAACGGTAGAACCAAAGGGTCAGACATGGCTTGAAGCAGCATTTGCTTGAGGCGCTGCCTTTGACAGAAAAAGCAAGTGGGGGAGCGACAATACAAACGTAATAACACTCTTCCTCTGCAACGACATGCAGACGGATGAAAAAGAGGGGCTCAGAGCAATGATTACAATGCTAGATTCAAGGTATGTCTTCACGAGGCGAAAACACTTCATAACCTAACGTTATACAACACTTTTACAATATATCATTTAAGAAATACCTCCTTGAATACCTAAATACTTTGAGTATATATGTTTATTATGGCTAACTCTACTGTCAGAGTACATCAAAAATATTTTAAAAACATGTATATACTGAAGGCTTTGATTACTGTGTTTCACAACAATTTCGAAATATTTTATTTTGAAAGATAAGCAGTGTTGAAGTTTCTGACATATCAGTTTTAAAGTTCTGTTTTTACTGTGTTCCCAGCAAGCAATAGTCATGATTTAAATGTATTGGCTATATTTAGCTCCGATTTAGTCTAGCTACATGTAACCCAAATCTAGCCGATTTAATTTTGAAATTGATTAAATGTAATTTTCGCCATTGCAGATGGTGTGCGGTATGATATTCAATCACGTATTGAGAGTCAACAGTAATTAAAATATGTTTAACTCCATTTTTTGGACATGGTCTCTACATAGCCGTGTGATTGATGACGTCTACACTTTGGCTATGGTTAGACGTCTACCAAATTTTCACTGACAGCCCAAATTCAGCCGTGATTTAGCCTAGATGTCAGGTCTTCATGTAGATGGCTATTAGATGTTTAAACCAAAAAATGCTTGCTGGGAATTGTACTTTCCACACTAAAAAATTATATTATATTCTGCAACTGTTTAATGCAGTCGGGCCAAGCAAACCCGATAGCAAACAAAGTCTTTGGTATATTTATGATGGCATTAAAATGTTTTTAAAGGTACTCTATGAAGGTGGTAGAATAAACCACTATAAACCTAAATAAAGGCTCAACCATGCAAAAAAAAAGAATAATGAAATTTATAAAATACAGTGGCATATCATGAAAGCACCAGAATCTTGGGTCATACTGCCAGCACTAGTGTTCAGTCATGCTAGCAGCTCTGTGAGGCTGTACTTTAGCACTACGGTGTGTTAAGATAACATCAGCAGGCTAACATGCTCACATTGACAATGCTAGCATGCAGATGTTTAGCAGGTAAAACGTTTACCATGGAACCACAGTGATAGACCAATATTATCGGACCGCAGCAAAAAAACAGTACTCATCCAGAACTGGGTTTATTTAAATACATTTTTCAAATTGAAACAAATGTAAAATTCATAAGAGTGACATCTTATCGATGGTATGTTAAACAGAACCAGATCATTTCATTGATTTCCAGACCAGCAGATTGCAGGTAGTGAGGGTGAATGGACAAACTGCTTCCACATTCATCCTTAACACTGGAGCACCCAAGGGCTGCGTTTTGAGTCCCCTGCTGTACTCCCTGTACATACATAACTGTGCAGCCACCTCCGATGACACAGCTGTGGTCGGCGTGATCACAGATAACAATGAAAAAGCCCACCTGAAACGAAGTAGAGGATCTGACCTGCTGGTGCCATGACAACAATCTGCTCCTGAACATCAGCAAAACGAAGGAGCTGATAGTGGACTTTGGAAAGAGGCCGGAAAGGAACTATGCCCCCTGAATGTCAGTGGGTCCTCGGTGGGGAGGGTGGATAGCTTCAACAGCCTGAACTGTGAGCTGAATACTGACTCAGTGGGGAGAAATGCAAGGCGCAGGCTGTTTCATCTCAGATGCTTTCGGAAATTCTGGGTATTCCCTCAAACACTTGGGGATTTCTACGTCTGCACCATCAAGAGCGTCCATATGGGGGACATCACAGTCTGGTATGGAAACAGAATCAAATAGGACTGCAAGTTCCTGAAAAGTGGGAGCTGAGGTCCGTAAGATAGTTACACCAGGTCAGCACTGAGATGCTCAGGAAGAGTCTCTAACCTCAGGGCTGCAGGGATCCTGAAAAAGGTCACTGGTGATAGCAGTCAGGCCACAATGTCAGAGCAACTGACACCTAGCAGGTCTATCTCTTTCCTTTGTGTTTCAAGAGGCTGTAGCCTTCATGGGTGTGTGAGCATGCAGGCTGGTGTCTACATACATATGCGCACACATGCTCCTCCACTTCACATTTTCAAACGTAGCTTGCAGGGAGCCCTGCAGCACACATGCCTTGAGCAAAGGAGAAGAGGTTTCCTTCTTTAAACCCTCTAATCAACAATTCCACAGCATCCAGTCCTCCCTCAAGAGGACTCTACAGTTTCAAAGTTCTGAGGGAACTTCTCACCCTATTTGTATCCCTCTCAAAAATTCATTTGGTAATGAAAAAGACACCTACTCATGCACGCACAAGCACAGACACCCTGGAGAATTCTGACAAAAAGTTGGCTGAGCACAAAAATACCTCCAGCTTAAAAATAAACCCAGGAACTGACTGTTTGCAATTCTTCCCATACCTGAACAATCACTTGCTCTGTTTTTGTCTGTCTAACAGAAACATGCTGTTGTATTTAGGTCCAGTGAATCTGTTTTCTATTTCTCTGAAGCCTGCAAACAGTAACTGCACAAAAAATACACATCAAGAGAAGGCAAAGAAAGAGAAATATAAAGAAAAGGAAATAGTGTGGAAAATTGTATTTCTGAGGCTGCAAGAGAGAGCAAGTGATACTTTCAATTAGGCTTTTAGTCACACTTTAGAAGTACAAACAATATTGGCAAACCGCAGTTGATGTGACATAATTACACACAATGGAATTACTCTGAGCCCCAGTCTATTTATATACATACTACCCTGTGTTAAACAAAGCTTTTGAGGAACACTGTGTTAACCAACATAAGACAGGCTTTTTTCATATTTGCCAAAGGTTAAGTTACATAATTGACAGAGTGCTGTGCAGTAAGGGTTTTCCCACATATCACAATCTAAGTTTTTCCTTCTTCCTGACCACCTCAAATGTGTAGGAAGTAAATAATTGAGCATAACACATTATGAAGATAAAGTGTTGCTGATTAACAAGAATAAGCCTCCAGATGCAATGCAGATGCAGAGACTGTTTATGGCTGATTATGATAACGCAAACTCAGCTCTTCTTGCAGCTGTTGCACAGTTACCTTCCAGCAAATAACTAGATTAGGTCTGGATTAGGTTTCACTGAGGGAAGACGTTGCTCCAAATTTCTCCAAACAAAGTGGCTGGCGCCTGTTGACTGAGGCTTAGATTTGTGTGAGCCTGAAACCTCTAAAGAAACAAATTTGAAGCCAAAGCAAAGCATTTTCCCCCGATGATGTTGCTCCACTCATACTCCACCTTAGCTCCAAGTGAAGACTGGGGTAAGACCAATACTTTGAGGTGGTAAGGGACTTCATAAGAGGTCCAAGCCCCTTATGGAGAAACATCAGATTGACACTGCTCTCATATACAGTGTATAAAACATAAAGCTACAGCCAGCAACCAGTTAGCTTAGCTTAGCACAAACTATAGTTACCACCTCGCTGTTGCATGCCTCTGTGAAAAAGTCAAGTTGAATTAATTCGAGACATGTCAGAGCGAGGGGGCTGCCCATGAACAGGCGCCCTGAGCAGTTGGGGTTCAGTGCCTTGCTTGGCAGATCAGTCTGGCCATGCAATCATAAAGGTGCATTCTGGCATCGGTTAAAGCTTACCGAGCCAATCACGACCGTTCATTACTTTGGGGCGGGTTATTTGAAACCACGTCATCAGAATAGGAGGGACAAGGACCGGAGCGAATGCATTTCGTAAACAACCAACATGGCTACTGATTTTGAAACTGCGATGGTAAATGTGTTGAACGAACTGGAATGTACATTTTCTTTAAAAGCAGAACAAACGGCTACACTGAAAGCTTTTATTGAAAAAAGGATGTGTTTCCCGTCCTTCCTACGGGGTTTTGTTTCTCCCCAGTTGTTCTCACGGAGGAGCAGGTCAGGGAAGCAACCAAGCTGGGAATCACAGCCATGCAACTCGGAGTCCACAGTGAGGAGGAAATCTGCAAAGACGGCAACACTCTTTCCCAGACATCATCACAGCTAATCTCCGCTGCAGCTTTCTGGTCTGTTTACAGTGGCGTTGTGCTAGTCTATGTCACACGTTTCTTTTACTCTGATTGGTTTTCCGTCTTTCCAATTGCGTGAAGGGGCACTTTGAGTGACAGCCGTTGATACCGCCCCTCAGGAATAGAGGAAATGTACACTCCGTGTCCAGACCCATTCGCGTTTTGTGAATTGGGTCTGGACACGCCAGGCTACCAGATTAGTCATCATCAATGTCATCAATTCAGTATCTGACCAAATCTTCTGTTCCTGAGTTATGATGTTGAATAATGGTCAGACAAGTATTTTAGCAGAATGTTATGATGTCAAAATGCAGTTGACCTTTGCCCTTTTGGATATGAAATGACTTCACTTTATCATTTTATTCCTTTAGACATTTGTGTGAAATTTTGGCATAATTAGCAGCTTTTTTCTTGAGCTACGGCCAAAAAGGTGTTTTGTGAGGTCACAGTGACCTTTGACCACCAAAATCTCATCAGTTCAACCTTAAGTCCGAGGGGATGTTCGTACTAAATTTGAGGAAATTTCTTAAAGGCCGTCTTGAGACATCTGTTCATAGGAACAAGACAGACACGAGGTCAGTGATCTTTGACCACTGAAAGCTAATCACTTCATCGTTGAGTCCAAGTGGTAGTCTGTGCCTAATTTGAAGCAATTCCATCCAGCGTTCTTGAGATATTGGATTCACAAGAATTGCAGGGACATACAGACTTATGGCTCTGGCACGGACGCATGAAAACTTGAAACAAGGGGAAAAGTTAGCCTGGCTAACCAGCTGCTAGCTCAAGCTTGATATTCACTTTCCAGACACAAGAGTGATATGTATCTTCTCATCTAACTCCCTGCCAGAGAGCAAATAAAATTTCCCAAGAGGATGAACTTTTCGTTTAAATTCCAGATCAGGGTTGTACAACATATTGTTTTATGCATGATAAACAGGAAAGACTTCGACATTGCACTCAGGGATTTTTTTCTGAGTTAGCTGAAAGAGAGCATCAGTGAAAAACTGCTTTAAAATGCAACTATCTTTCTTTTTTATTGGTGCCTTTTGTGTTTAGTTCATATTTCAATTTGTTCAGTTACCTAATGTTCAAAATAATTTCCTTTTTGTTTTAATTCAACAGGCAATTAGTTGTATTCTAGCAGTATACTGACAGCAACAGAAAACTGACTTTAATATCTGATTATTTATAGCAAGTAAAATTGTTGCTGCAATATTTAACCTTATCCCATATTTTACTCATATCATGCAGCCCTGTTCCAGGTTCACCAATCCTTGCATTATAGAGGAAGATGCAGGTGAGAACCCAGTGTAGAGCAGTTGTGAATCCATCATTACTGTGTATCAGTTAGTGAGGGTTGCCTGTCTCACCCGTGCCCCAGGTATCTCACAGCAGGCCTCCTGCATGGCGAGGAACGGGTCACAGTACAGCATCACCTGCTGAATGTCCATCTATGAAAGAGAGGGAGAGAAAGAGGAGGATGTATTTAACAAGCATGTCTCAATACGTCCTCTACTTTGTTTATCTAATAATGTAAATAAAGTTTAAATGAGGTGGTAAACAAGGCGGAGAGCCAATTAATTTCTCATTTACATAAAGTATTAGGACAGCACTTTGTCAGAGGGTTTGCATGCGTGTCTTTGTGTGTGCGTACAGGTATGAACACTTCCTCCCTTCGCTGACAAAACACCCCGCCTGCTCCCCAACTAGGCCGGTTAATTGATTGCAAACTAAGTGCCTGGATTACTGGATCTGTTCAGCTTTAATAGTCTCGGCTCACTACAGGCCCACTCTCCCAGGTTGGCCGCTCGCTTTTTTTAAATCAGGATTGAATGAGATTGCTTTAAAGGAAACAGCACATCAGTGGGCAAAGCCTGTGGTCTAAAACACACACACATATGTTAATATACACATACAAATGCCTCAATGGGAGGCTGGTTCATGAGAAATATTTCACTGTGTCCTTTTTGCTTGAAACAGGGGGGTCTGTGAAAAGCCTGGTTTGTTATAAAAATTGTATATGCCAAGGGTACGCTGAACTACATTACACAACCAAGCACTACCATGTTATTCTCCATGGTTCAGGTCCCAATAAGGGAATTTGGTTCATTCAAAACACTTCCAAAACAGACAAGAACTGTTTGTTCTTCATACAGAGAGGGACTAAAGGTCACCACACTTTCAAACAGTAAGTTTAGTTGACATTTACATTGCAGAGCTTAAACTTGATCAAAAGTGATTCAATAGCCAAGATGGGGCAGCCACACACTGCATATTTAATCAAAAGCTCACACAAACACTCCTCTGATTTCCGTATTTGCTTTCTCCATACAGTCTTACCTGCACAGGCCCCGCGTCTGAAGCCTTGATGCCCAACAGAGTGTGTCCATCAGTGAGCACATCTCCACGGGGCTCCAGGGGTTTGGTCTCAATGGAGTTGCAATCCATGTAGAGGGAGGCAGCTCCTTGTTGCACACTGAGGGCCACCTTGTGCCAGCTCAAGTCCATCAAGGCCTCAACCCCCTCCCCGCTGAAAACGCAGCTCACCAGGTCAGCTGTGGGGTCTACCCCTCTGGCACGCAGGGACAGGGTGCCCTCAGGGCCGCTGAGGTCTAAAGAGAGCTGCGTTTGGAGACAAGAGCTAATTAAACACCAAACAATGTGTTCAGTGTGTCAATGCATGTGAAAAATGAACTGTATCTCTCGTTGTCTGACTGCAAAGAGTGATATGTACATGCTGTTACTGCCTAACAAAGCTGTAGAACACAGTAGCTGAGATGAGGTATAGGGGAAGACATATTAATTACACACACAAGTGGTACAGCCAATCAATCACTCCTAATGAGGCAACTTGGCCTTCATCCATCATACACATTGAGTATTTAAATCTGGCCTCAGACTCTTAGTGATTATGGGGACTTTGAGGGACTCCAGTGCTTCATCATGGAACACACATGAATAACAATGAAGGTGAATGAAAGAGGAAAGCGGAAGATGATGGAGGGAAGAGCGACAGAGAGACAGGGAGCGAATGTGAAGGAGGGGAATCCGATGGAGAATAAAGGGAGGACAAAAGGCGCGTGGAATGAAAGGGGGGCGAGAATTGAAAAGGTGTCAAGGGAGTGAAGAAATCGAAGGGTGAAAGTGGATGACTATGCAAAAGAAAGATGAGAGACAGGGGGAACGAATAGACAAAAGGCGTGATGAATAAAAGGTAAAAGATCGAGGAAGAGAGGGAGGGAATAGTGATGGGAGAAAAGAGAGGCAGCGGAGAAAAAGATGCAGGGATTTTTGAAACCAGTAATGAGGAAACAGAGCGAGCTGCACCTGTGGGTATCCCTCCTGATCAGATATCTGGAAGAGGTAGACGGTGTCTCTCAGGGCCGCCTTCTTTAACGCCAGAGTGAAGATCAGGGTAAACTCCTCTGGTAGGCCATTAGGAAACACCTGACTGGAACACAGAAGTTCAGAAAATTCAGGGACACGACACTCCTCCAGGCATTATGTGTAAGTACAGGAGAGGTTTTTAAGGGGAACTCCTGATGATGTCATCAGGGTTATCTTGGCTTTGCAGTGGAGACTGCACACATCAAGCCTGTTTTACAAACTGGAAGTGTAGAGTGTTACCACTGTAGGCATTTGCTAACAAAAAGATGTAAATGACACTGGTGACCCTCTCAGTCTGCTCTTCATGCTCTTTCATACAGGTGTATTTTTCCTCTTACCTGTAGTGCTACTTATCGATCTAGATTGTTCTGGTGTGAGTTGCCAGGTGTTGGAGATATCGGCTGTAGAGATGTCTACCTTCTCTCGAATATAATGGAACTAGATAGCACTTGGATTGCTCAACAGCAATGTCTCTTTTCACGAATCATGACTCGGTTACTCAAGATAATCCCCAGACCTTGTTGTGAGCAGTTTCTTGCAGGAACTATTTTCTTTCTACCAAACTACACCCACCAACTGTATCACTGTGTAGAAGGAAGCGTGCATCTACTCATGGACAAATAGCTAGTGCTCTTGATAGTGCAAAATGTAAACATCAATAGCATCCTCCTTGGTTGAGCTGTGATCTTAGCTAGCTCAGTGGTGCCAGGTGAACTCCCAGTAGATGCACTATACCTTCTGCGTGGCGATACAGTTGAAAGAAAAATAATTGAAAGAAAATAATTCCTACATGAACAACAACTTAACAGCAGTGTCTCTTTTCAGAAACCATGACCCAGTTGCTCAAGATGACCCACAGAACTTGTTCTGAGCTACAACTGCCAACTGTATGGCCACGCAGAAGGAAGCGGTCATCTACTGCTAGTTCACCTGGCACTGCTGAGCTAGCTACGATCACAGCTCAACCGAGGAGGACGCTATTAATGTTTACATTTTGCACTATCACGAGCACAAGCTTCTGAGTCCATGAGTAGATGCACACTTCCTTCTGCATGGTGATACAGTTGGTGGGTGTAGTTTGGTAGAAAGAAAGTAGTTGCTACATGAATCTGCTCACAACAACTTCTGTGGGTTATCTTGAGCAACTGGGTCATGGTTTCCGGAGAGAGACGTTACTCTTAAGTTGTTCCAATGTATTTTTTTGGCACTGGAAACACTGCGGTCAGTGGATTAGTCAAGAGACACATTGTTGTTTTGCTCACACCAAAGCAGCACCGTAGCATTTTCCAAACTCTCTTGGTTTTTGTCAGCACTGTTTTTCCTCGCTGCCCGCAGCCTTTCAAACAAAATTAGTCACAAACAAAGTTTGTCTCCTGTTTGTAATAAATAGCCACATACCAGGAAGAAAGAACAGAAAAGATTCAGTGTCCTCCATTGTGTCCACTATGTGGCTTTTACCATCCTGTAACAACTCTGCCTTAGATTTAAGAGCACTGCCTGTGGTGGAGAGGCAAAACATATCCAGGATACAGGTGCATGTCCGTACAGGTTACGCAACGGTACTATACCAAAAGTGTTAGGGTGAATTGTCCCTTTTCATAAAGGCATAGATGAACAATGCTGGGCATGTTAATTTAAAATGTGTTCAATGTGTCTGTGCTGTATGTGTGTGTACATCTGCAGGTGAGGGTATACATGTAGAAGCATGAATATATAGTGCATATATGTCAGTGTCCAGGTATATTTGCTTTATTTTTGTACTTTTGACATTGGAGATATGTGCAAGCTGTGGAAACTAAAATTCACCCTGGAACATTAAGACTATATATCTAACTTGACATAAATGCAGTGGGTAGCCAGGGAGCTGACAAGTTAAGACAACTTTTGGCTTCACATAACTTTCCTTGATGTCCTCGAGAGCACAGTGACAAAGTAAATATTATGTGCGGTTCCTGTGCGAGCATCTTTATATTCTTCGCATTGTTTTCTCTCCCTATTTTTTTCTCCCCCTCGTTCTGTGACTGCAGCCGGCAGTAATGCAAAGCTGTGTGTAACCCCCTAGCATTAATTTTCCCAGAAGATACAGTCCAGCAAGCCTCATCCCTCAGTTTTGGTCAAGGGCATCTGAGCACACAAGTACACACACATTGGAATATTCACTGCATGGATGTGTGTAGTTGTATTGAGAGATGAAGGGTTCACAAACAAGCCCAGTGAAATGCATGCTCACTGAGATGGTGAACACTTTGAAATATTCTCTCTTGCTCTGTTTCTCTCTCTTTCTCTCTCTGCTCACACACACACACACACACACACACACGCACACACACACACACACACACACACAGAATTGTTGATGCTGGCAGCTGGTTTCCCGCTCTTAGAAGTGGGGTGACAGTGATTTATGACTAAGGGATGATCCAAGGGAAAACAGCCAACTACAGGACGTCAAAACAAAAAGAGGATGAGTAGGAGAAGAGGTGAGGAAGAAAAGCACTCACCCAGAGACCTGGGGAGAGAGAGACAGAGGGAAGTGGAGAGGGGGAGAAAGCTCCGGCGAGGGACAAGGAAATTCTGGGTATAATATGAAAATGCATTCGATTTTAATACCAACTAATCCACGGAGCAGTATTTAGGCAGACAATATGAAGATGGAAGTAAAGTGTGTGCAAGAAAGACAGACAGACAGACGGATGGAGAAAGAAAGAGAGAGACCGATGTTGAGAATAAAGTTGTTTTGCTGTCCATTAGTGACATGAGCTGCAGGGCACAAAACCACTCACAAACTATTGACTTTTAAGTTGAAAGTACCTCACCTTGGCCTATTACATTCAGTGTCCTGTAAAAAAAAAAAAACTACAGAAACACACACACACACACACACACACACATACACACACACATATACACAAGCATGCAGTGGGGAGATAAATCACTCAGTATGGGCCAGACAGATTCAGATCTAGCCTTTCCCAACTCTGAGAGAAAGTTACTTCTGCTTCTCTTGTTTTTTTTTTTAAAGAGAGGCAGAAGAAAGTCAGTGCAAGCCAGAGAGGCACAGGGGATGAGGAGGAGAGGAAATCTAATGTTGAAAAAGCAGATCTCTGGTTTAAGATGGGATATCACCTGGAGAGGTGTATAGGCACCCTTGTACTGGTTTCTAACTGAGCTGGAATCAACAGCTTTCAGTGGAGAGGCTTCCTATCCCTGAATGTATTATACATACCTCACTGAAAGGAATTTTAAACAGCTAGGAGCTGACACGTAAAAGAGAGCATATATTTCAAGCGATAGTGGCCAAATGTTGTTTGCACGTTGCAGTTTTCCCCCCTATGGTCCCCTATCTGTCCTTTTTTTGTATTTTAAGCAATATGTATAAAACTTTAAGAAGAAAATGTACCGAATGTTCAGACAACAGCAGATACATTGACAAGTACTGTAGAACATATATTTTGCATATGGTAATTTGTGTACTGCTATAGTTCGTATCATCATTGTCAGCACTGGCCTAAGCCTGTTTGGGGTGATAATTGGTCTACAGGATAATGGACAACACTTGTCCACGTCCTCTCACTGTACAAAAAAGAAGCCAATATATTCAGAAGTAAGCCGCTGCCATCTTGCAGTGGTGACATCGTTTGTACCCAGAGTCTGCACAGTCCACCCAATCACGAGCAGCGCCATTGATCAAGAGAACCAGGTCTCACTCCGAGGTCGTTGAAATCCTTCACTTGGGCAATGACTTGCGGCATCAACTAGATAAAAGGCGTCCATTAATGTCGGCATGATACGCGGCCGGTTGACGTTATAGTTTAACAGCGCCCGGCGGCATCAGGGGGAAACACGGTGGGACAAGGATAAAAGTTAAGGCGGTGAAAGTCCAACTGGGGCAGGTGCAACAAAAACCAAATTTCACCTGAGAGAGCAGTGTTTGTATTCATAAGATAGTTAAAACATTTCACAGCAATCCATCCTTTGGTTGTAGAGATGCTTTGCTTTGGACTAAAGTGAACAACAAATCAACACACTAGAGTCATTGCATTCCCTAGGGCCAAAAGAAGGGTTAAAAATGTGTGACTATGCTCTCACCTTTACAGATGCAGTTAAACTCCTACACTATGGTCAAAGCAGCTCAAAGGCTGCAGCAGCCCCCAAGTTCAACTTAGAAAAGAGATGGAAAAAAATGGCATGTGCAATCAGAAAACATCTCCTGGGCTTATAAAGGTTGATATAGATTATATAAAATCACAGCCTAAAAACAGCAGCCACTTTGGACGGCTAATGCATTAAGTCTGGACAGGCTTGCTATACCACAAATTCAACATTAGTCAGAGTAGCAATCATCCCCCTTCTGCAGATATAAGCTGAAATATTTTCGTAAAAGAGTACATGACCCTCTCCTTATTGACTCATATCCCAATCTGCCTTCTGCGTTCGCTCTCTAAAAATAAAATCACTATTCCTCCTCACCTATACTATTCTTTTATTTCCCTCCTACACGGTTGTACTTTTATGATCCTTCCACGGTCACACATACATTTGAAGAGCACCACTGCCTTCACCTGTGCACCGCTTATCTTTGGCTTATTATAACTTTGTATAAATGAATTCTACAGTAGTGCTTATTTAATCCCTGCATTGATAACAGCAGGAATCAAACTGTATCTCTCCTGCTATGTGATAGTAAGTCTTAAATTCATCAAATGCATTTTGATTCTCTCATAAATATCTTGGCCTTGTGCCATACTATCATAGAATTGCTTCCAATCTCTCCTACTCGCTGCGGCTACATAAAAGAAAACAGGCCCAAAGCAATTAAATCATATTTTGCTGAAATTAAAATGCATGTGACCAGCTGTGACTGGTGCCCATTTCACTGTCAGCAGACAACCGAGAGAGGCGAGAGACAAGTAGCTTCATCTGGCTGTCACTCATCTGTGTTAGCTTGGATTAGCTGAATGGATTAGCCTCTGATACAAAGCAAAACGCTGCTTTCCAATTACTATACACATGTCTCGCACTTCAGTCAACCTCACCGGCGATGTATTAAAAAGCTGCTTGAGT